GCCCGTGAAGGCTTTGGAGTAGGGTAATGGCAGAGTAGTCAAGCCTGCCCTGCCAAACACAGAGAGCCCTGGTGGCTTAGCTGCACCATGAGGGCAAAGGGACGGAGACGGCATGAGAACTTTGCTCCATGCCCAGTTCAAATTAGTGCCATCCAGCAAACAGTGAGTAAGACCCTACAAGGTGCTCAGTGCTGGAGACAACACAAAACTTAGGTAATATACCTTCCCTGCCCTGATGAAGCTCACACAGGGATAATTCAATTCAACAAAGAGCTACTAAGTGTCTACAATATACTAGGCACTGGGGGTGATGTAAGGACAACCTGCCCTCGAGAAACTTACATTCTACCATGGAGATATGGCATACACACAGATAAGTCAAGACAAAATATGCACAAAGTAATTTCAGGAGAGAAATGCTAATAGCTGGGGGTTCAGGCAAGCCTTCCTTTAGGAAGTGGCGCCTGAACTAATTAAGATTCCAACACAGATAATATACCATATTACATGATAAGTGCATTAGAGTGTTGCTAAACAGAGTTGGCCTGTGGAATCTGAAGCCTAAGGTTGTTATGGTCTTTGGAGGAGAGGATGGTGTAGTTAGGGAAGGCCTCCTAGCATTCGAATTCTGCTTTGAAGGGTAAAGGGAAGAGTTAGGGGAGAGCAGTCTAATCACAGGGAGCAAGGTGGGCAGAAGCATGGAGCAGGTGAGAACATGGTGAATCGGGGGACTCAGGAGTAATCCAGTTGAGTTAAGTCCATGTTAAGACTAAATGTGTTTTCCTGAAACACAAATGAATTTTTGTAATTATCAGATTCAGAAATTGGAATGAAATCCAACAGGTGTCTAAAATTGACATATTTACATATATGTAAAAACCAAGCGGGTTGGTTTTTAATGTTTTGATTTTTGATCTGGTATATTTTATCATATTTTTAAAATTCTATCTTCCTTTTTCTCTCAATTGATACTAATTTCTGTGTTAAAAAAATTGTTGAATTCCAATTCTGTCCCTGCCAAGAATGATGACAAGATGCTTTAAGATGCTGATGAGTGTTTATTCTGTTGCTATTCCTTGCAGATAGCGAGTGGTTGTCCTCATCCTTAGAGAGTGTAAAGTACTCTTGTTTGGCATAAGTGAAGAGTATGTGGAAGAGACAGATCAGTTCAGAAAGTAACTGAGGAGAGCAGGACTTTGCTGCTCTGGATCTCTTCTGTAGCTAATAACTCTTCTGCTAAGAAGAAGGAGATGTGGGGGCATGGGTAGAGTGAGGGATTATGGGTTTTATTTCTTGTTCTTTGTTTCCTTATTCAAAACACCAAGAGATCTGAAGGGCTGATGTGTGAGAGAAGGATCAGATTTGTTCCACGTGGTCCTAGAAGGCGGAATAGTGCCAACGGAAGTTGCCCACAAGTAGAGTTAGTTCACTCACTTAACTCTTTGCAGTCTGACTTCCAGTCTCATGATCCAACCAAAGCTGCCCTCTCCAAGTTACTGACTATTTCTCAATCCTTATTTTTGGCCTCTCTGTATCCTTTCACAGTGTTGATCACCCTCTACTAGATACTCTGTCTTCTAGGTTTTTGACTACTGCTGCTACTACTGCTACTACTACTACTACTACTACTACTACTACTACTACTACTACTATTACTACTACTTCTTCTTTTCCTCCTCCTCCTTCTCCTCCCTCTCCTTCTTCTCCTCTTCTTCCTTCTTTTCCTTCTCTTTCTTTTCCTTCTCCTTTCCTCCTCCTCCTTTTCCTCCTCTTCCTCTCTTTCTTCCTCTCTCCCAGTTCTTCTTCCTATCTGACCACTCCTTCTCAGTCTGCTTTGCTGTATCTCCATCCAGGTTGTGCATGCTAACCAACTAAATGGCTGGCATCATGGTGACCAAGCCATACCATCCCCAAACATTCCCTCAGTGCCCATTTCATGAGATGCTGAAACTACTGGTCTGACACCAGAGCAAATTTCATATGGACTCCTATGAAGGTTTTCCCTTCTGTTAGTATGTCTTGCTTCAACTTCTAACCCAGGTACTAAAGGCTCAGTAGGTTTCATCAAGGACTTGATATTGTGACATACTGTAGACGCACCAGTGGCCAAATTCTTCTTCTATTTTCAGTGTCTCTAGACCTCAGGCAGCTTGGAGCACAGCTACAAGTCTTTTCCAGAAACACATAGCCAAGGGGGAAACTGAGACACACAGGAAAAGCTACCCAGAAATGCTTCTATCTCAGAGGTGTCACCTGGATCACTACCTCTTTTTCTTTTTTTTTTTTTGGCAATTGGGGTTAAGTGACTTGCCCAGGGTCACACAGCTAGTAAGTGTCGAGTGTTTGGTCTGAGGCTAGATTTGAACTCAGGTCCTCCTGATTCCAGAGCTGGTGCTCTATCCACTGCACCACCTAGCTGCCCCAGGGTACCATCTTCTGCATGAAGCTTTTCCTGATTCTCCTCCTCCCCGATCCCCTTCTGCTAGTGCCTCTTTCCCAAGCTACTTTGTATTTCACTCCTTGGTACCTATTTGGATTTGTTTTTGCTGTATATAGTTTTATATGTGCTTGTCGTGGTCTCCATGAGAATGTAAACTCCTTGTGAGCAGGGATTGTTTCCTTCTCTCTGCCTGTCTCCCCAGTGCCTTGCATTGTGCCTGGTGCACAGCAGGTGCTTAGCAAATGCTTGTTGCTTGATTGCTCTTGTAATTTGAGTTATCTTTATTATGTTAACGAGGGAAGGAGTGGATGTGAAGATCTGTGAAACAGGAAACAGTACAGAGGCCAAACTGTTTGGTATAGACCGTGTTACAGGAGATAAGAAAAAGGGAGAGAACCATGGGGCCGGGCCAGTTGGGGAAGGCCTCACAGGGGGAGGTGGGACATGAGGTAGACCTTGAGTGACAGGGAACGGTATTCTAGGCAGAGGTCAGTCAGGGCTCAGAACCTGGCACAGTCTTGGCCTGTTTGGGAACACAGAGGAGGACCATCTGGCTGCAGCGGAGGATTCACCTAAAGCACCGTGGCGATATGCCGGGTTGGGCCAGACTGGGGACAGTAAAGAGTCAAGGATTTCCCCATGTTCCGTTCCACTTGATACAGAACGTATGATGTATCAGAGTCTTGGGTCCTTGTGTAGATGCTTTGAGACTTCAAGGATCCCTGACTTGATCATTGTGGGTTCTCCCTTCACCGATGCGGCTCCTCACCTCTCCGTGCCTTAGTAGACGACCTTCGTGAGATGCTGTGGCCAAAAAATATTCACCACCTGCTAATGACAGTCTTCTGATTACAGGCTATTATTTAGTTGATGGTAAACATATTAATAATAAAAACAAGAGCCTCTTTTTCTAGCAATTTCTACTTTTCAAACTACTTCAAATATATTATGTTGATCTTTGGAACAGTCCTGTGAGGTCTGTTGAAAACAGGTATTGTTGTTCCATTATACAGAAGAGGAAACTGAGGCCCAGAGAGGTCCACTGGTTTGCCCGGGGTCATGCATTGAACTGGTGAGAGACCCAGGATGAGAACCCGGGTCTCCTGTTCCAGTGTACCATCGGGTAGAGATGTTCAATCCTAAGCTTACCCTCCACCAACCATGGCATCCTGGGTACATCTGGTGTCTTCCAGGGTATCTGAGGTGGCAAGCTTTTCTGGACTGGTGTGATATAGAAGGCAGTTTAGGTGAGGCTGAGGTTTATTCATTGCCCTTCTTCACACCTGAGCCAGGAAGCTCTCAGAGAGACAAGAGCAGAATGAGCCATGGCCTGGGAGTCAAGAGGTCAAGAGGCCAAGATGCTTACCTTTATTCTACTGCTTACCTGCTATGTGACCCAGAGCAACTCAGCTCCTTTCCCTGGGACTCATTCCTTTTGTGTGTAATAAGGAGAGTTGTGGATCACTAAGATGTTTTCCAGTTTTACGAGTCTGTGTTCTTAAAGTCCTGGCTCTATTAGTATTATGTTTTAAGGTTTCTTAAGATTCTGACATTCTAATGCATGTTCTCAAGTTGTCTTCCAGATTTAGCATTCTGTGTTCTGAAATCCCTTCTGCTTTGTGAAGTTTCTTTATCTTTCAAATGACACATTTTGAGGACAGTTTTAAAATAACGTGTTGAATGTATTATATCCTTAAAAACAAAAGCAAGCTGTATCTAATAAGCCTTGTATAATCCTCTTTTTCTGTTCTACTGTGTGTATGGAAATGCTCATTTTATTTGGTGTTTGTTAAAGTTTGGGATTAAAAAAAATTAAAATAAGATGAAGCATTTGGGTTGGACTTTGTGATGCTCTGTTCAGTGTTCTACGTTCTGAGACCCTTTATAGCTCTAACATTATTTTAAAAATCATTTTATTTTTTCAATTAACAGAATCTATTTTTTCCTCCCTTACCTCTCTTCCCTACTTAAAAAAAAAAAAAAGAAAAGCAAAACCTTTGTAACACGTATGCTTAGTCAAGCAAAAACATGTTTCTGCATTGGTCACATCCAAAAATCTCTCTCTCATTCTGCACCCTGAGTTCGTCACCTCTCTTTCAGGAGGTGGGTAGCATGCTTCATCATTCCTTCTCTGGAATTGTGGCTGATCATTGCATTGATCAAACTTCTTACCTCTTTCACAGTGATTTGTCTCTATAGTGTCGTTGCTATTATGTAGATTGTTTTCCTGGTGCTGCTGCTCACTTTACTCTGCATCAGTTCCTATAAGACTTCCCAGGTTTTTCTGAAACCCTTCCCTTCATCATTTCTTACCGCACAGTAGTGTTCCATCCATCCATCGGCCATCATTTCTCCTGCCATCCTGCTCTAACATTCTGTGTTCAGTGTTCTAACATTCTTTGCTCTAAGGTCCCTTCCAGCTCTGACGTTTTTAAGTCAGTGTTCTAACATTCTGTGTGCTCAGATCCCGTCCACTCTAATGTTCTGTGTCCAGATTTCTAACATTCCCTGTTCCGAAGCCCCTTCCATTTCTAACATCCTCGTGTTCTGTGTTCTTCAGGTTTTCTCCAAACTGCTCTACCCCATTGTGAGGGAGTCTGCGCTGTCTGTGCTCAAGTATATGCTTCTGAGTTTCCAGCACTCCCATGAAGCCTTCCACCTGGTAAGGAGTTTGTGCAAGCCAGACTGCACATCTGGGACGTCCCTTTTTTGCAGGTATGGATGGGATTGGAGAGTGGGAAAAAGGGTAGGATGGGTCCCCAAAAGAAATGGCTGGGCCTGCCCTTGGATGTCCTGTCTCTTCCTATTGGCCATAGGGCACAGGACCTGGAGTCAGGAAGACCTTAGTTCAAATCCAGCCTTAGCCACTTATTAGCTGTCTGACCCTGGGCAAGTCACTTAACCTCTCTCTGCCTCAGTTTCCTCATCTGTAAAATGGGGATAATAATAGCACCAACTTCCTAGGGTCATTGTGAGGATAAAATGAGATGATTTTTGTAAAGTGCTTTGGAAATCTTAAAACACAATACAAATGCTAGCTTTGGGTGTTACTGTTATTCCCTGAGGCCAGTCCCCTGTGCCAGCGGTGAAGGGGGCCTATTAACTCTTACCATTTTTCTCTTGGTTTCTTGCATTCTGGGATGAAGATAGGGGTAGGGTGGCAGCAAATGGAGTAGCTAGGACTCTGGAAACCTATCTTCGTGTTCTTCATAATAACTCCCTATCCTTCCAGTCTCTATCTCTATCCCTGCCCCCACTTCACAAACAACCCTATGGGGTAGGTAGTGTGAAAGTTAACATTCCAATTTCTTGTACAAGGATTATTATTTCAATTTATTGTGCCCACCTTAACCCAGCCTGTCCTCATGTTGCTTCCTGGCATTGGATGGGATAGAAAGTCATAGGAAGGAGAGAAAGTTTGCCTTCACTTTTTTTTCTTCAATTCAACAAATGTTTATCATGTAGCTGTGTGAACTTGGGAAAATCACTTAATGAGCTTCTTTTCCTCACCACTTTAAATTCCACACTTTACATCACTTCATCATCTTCTGCCATCTCAAAAATAAGGCAGCTCTTCTCCATACTAAGGCCAACCTCTCTATTTGTGCCCTTAATCCCATCCCTTCCTATCTTCAGGAGTTGAAACATTGCCTTCTTAACCCTTTTGTCTGTTAAGGCTGGGGGCCGTGTCCAGTTTCATCTTCGCACACTGCCCCTCTTCTCCCCCAGCCCCCATCCCTTACCCCCCAGTGCCCAGAACAGAATCTGGTGTATGTTAGGTATTTGATAAATGCATAAATTTGGAGACCTGGGAAACGAGCATTGATGCAAGCAAGGGTCACAGCCTCAAGGGAAGACCACCCCCACCAACCTCCCAAACAGAGTCTCCATGATTTTTTCAACAAAAAGTTAATCCCTATGGACTCTAGTAGTGGGGAGTCAGGTTTGAGGGAGTTTGTGGCATGGCCTACATTAGGCCAGCAGGGGGAGCTTAAGTCCTCAACGTGAGAATGATCTTAAAAAAAGGTAGGGAGAGGGAGAGAAGTCCAGAGAGGGTCATATTTTTAAAGTTTTCCTGGTTCATGAAATGGGTGTTTCCTCATCCACTCAGAGCTTTACAGGAAAGGAGATGGATGGTTTTTGCCAGTTTTTCAAGTAAAATAATAAGGAAGGTGATAATAACTACAGATCCTATAAGTAGAGGAAAAGCATGATTTAGAGCTAGAAAGGACCTCAGAACATAAGAATGTCATACTGTAGTCATAAGGGACTTTAAAAGCACATGGACTGACGTCAGTTCTGGAAGGGACCTTAGAACATAGAATGTCAGAGCTGGGAGGGACCTTAGAACAGAGAATGTCAGAGTTGGGAGGGCCCTTAGGACACAGAATGTCAGAGCTGGGAGGGCCCTTGGAACAGAGAACGTCAGAGCTGGGAGGAATCTTAGAGGTCATCTGGTCCTGAGGCCAGTGGGCCAGATCTGTCCTGATTGTTTTTGTATGACACTTAAATAAAGCCTTATTGTATTTGGAAATGTAAAAACCATTCTTAGCTCCTGCCCATGCAAAAACAGATGGCGGCCAAATTTGTTCTTTGGACCGTAGTTTGCCAACCCCTGGTCTGGCCCATCCCTCTCATTTCGAAGATGAGGAAACTAAGGCCCAGAGAGAAGCAGCCTACACAAAGTCACACAGGGAGATGGTGGCAGAGCTAACTGGCCACACAACTCTAACTTCCACACATTTTCTTCTGTCCTGGGCTTATAATTCACTCAGACTCAATTCAGTTTAGTTCAGTTTGATTCAACAATGCTTTAGTGAGCAGCCCCTGTGTACAGAGCATTGCTCAGCCCTAGGAGCAAGACAAAATGTGTAGAAGATGATGTCCCTGCCTTTATGGAGTTCCCAGCTGGGCAGGAAGGTAGGGAACCAACCCATATAAGCATAAACACATTACATGGTAAATTCTTGAAAGAGGCACAAACATTAAGTGCTATGTGAGGTCTGATGGGGATGGTCATTACCAAATCAGGAGATTCGTGGGATGAGCTCCTGGAGGAAAGTTAGGTTGTAAAAAGCTAAGTGGGAATTCAAAAGGCAAAGGAAAGGGGTGGTGGGGAAAGGTCAGAGAAGCCATTCTTGAAGTAGGAGCAAGAAATGGGGTGGCTTCACATGCATTGAGTAACAGACAGTGAGGTCTTACTCTGCTCTCTTCACTAGAAATCCTGCTTTGCATTGTTTTAAAATCTCTTAGTAGTCTCCCTTGGTCGGGTCAGATGATAAATAATATGCCTTGTTACTTCAATTAGCAGCCCAGACCTCTATACCCTGCAGTGAATGTTGTCCCCCACATGGTTATCCTAGTGGGAGCTGCCCAATGATTCTGTCTTTTTTTAGGCTGTATGAGGGACTCTGTTTTGTGTAGGTCCTTTGAGCTCTATCATATATTCTTCCTGATATATATTTTTAAAAAAATATATGATAATATATAACATACTATTTTTTGTTATAATTTCATGTAATACTTTAAAGTTTCCAAACCTACATGCACATGTATGTAAAATATATGGCCCCTTAACCAGTCAGCCAAACAAGCATTTACTAAGCACCTGCCAGATACTGTGCCAGGCACTGGAGATGAGAATAAAGTAAATTAAATAATCGCTACTCTTGAGGAACTTACCTTGTCATAGATTCCCACAAAGGCCCTGTACAGGATGCAGCACAAGTATTGTTAACCCCATTTTACAGATCAGGAGACAGTGTCTCACCTACAGTCACCTAGTTCATAAGTTCTTGGGACAGGATTTTAATCCAGTCCTTCTGACTTCAAGTCCAGGGTACTTTGTACTATTCTCCCCCCCCACACACTCCTGCCCAAATGCCCTGCCTCTTTGCCCCCTCCATTGATATAAAGTCCAGCCCTATCACACCTTGGATGATCTTTGTGAGTTGCTGTGAGCCAAAGCATTTTATGATCTAGTTGGTGATGAGCCTTTTCCCACCTTAGGTGATACTGGTCCTTAGATGATACGTAGTCCACTGCTGGGTTGGTATTCAGGACATGGGAGAGCCTGGACCCCACTGGCATGGTCTCAGGTCACCTCCATGCTTGGATGAGGCATCAGAGGAAGACTTTATGGTGGAGAGCACCTAATACAAGTGGGCAAACTGAGACTCTGAAAAGGGCCAGGATGAGAAGTCCAGAAACTTGGGTTTCTATTATGATAGCTAACATTTATGTAGAATTTACTATGTGCCAGGTACTGTGCTCAGTGTTTTTACAAATGTTATCTTATTTGATCTTCACAACAACCCTGGAAGTAGGTACTATTACTATCTCCATTCTGCAATTGAGGAAACTGAGATAGTCAGGGCTTGAGTGACTTACCAAGTGTCACACTGCTAGTAAGTGTCTGAGGGGGAACTTGAACTCAGATCTTCCTGACTTTAGGCCTGGTGCCATGTTGTTACATTCCAAAGCCTCTATAGTCATGCCAAGCTTCTTCTGGTCTTCACAGCTTCTTCCTCACATCCCCAAAATGGTGGCCTCCCTGGCAGAAGAGGACTCCAACTCCCGAGCAAACTGCTTGGAAGAACTGGCAGAGCTAATCCACTGCATGGTGTTCCGCTTCTCAGGCTTCCCAGACCTGTATGAGCCTGTCATGGAGGCCATCAAGGTGGGTTCCTCACACCCATCTCTCAAGAGTGACTGGGCAGGGTTTTCTGAGCTTTTTGTTTTTATTTTTGAAAGTCTGTGACATACTTTTGAGTCACAGATCTGAAAGGGACTCTGGAACATGATCATGGAATGTCAGAGCTAGAAGAGACCTTATAAGGAACATGGAGCATCAAAGCTAGTAGGAACTTTAGAATATAAAGCATTAGGGCTAAAAGGAATGTTAGAACATGGAATATTAGAACTATAAGGGATATTAAAATATAAAATGTTAGCACTAGAAGAGATTAGAACATCAAATGTTAGTGCTAGAAGAGATGAGAACATTGAATGTTAGACCTAGAAGAGACTAGAACACAGAATGTTAGACCTAGAAGAGACTAGAACTTAGAATGTTAGACCTAGAAGAGACTGGAACATAGAATGTTAGGCCTAGAAGAAACTAGAACATGGAATGTTAGAGCTAAAAGAGACTTAAGAACATGGAATGTTAGACCTGGAAGGGATGTTAAAACATAGAATATTAGAGCTGAAAGGAATCTGAGAACATAGAGTATTAGACCTGTAAGGGTTCTTAGAACATAGAATATTACAGCTAGAAGGAATTTTAGGATATAGAATGTTAGGACTGAAAGGGATGTTAGAAGATGGACTATTAGAGCTATAAAGGATATTAAAACGTAAAATCTAGAAGAGACTAGAACATAGAATGTTGGAGCTAAAAGGGACTTTAGAACACAGAATATGAGACCTAGGAGAGACTAGAACAGGGGTGGGGAACCTGTGGCCTCAAGGCCATATGGGCCTCTAGGTCCTCAAGTGTGGCCCTTTGACTGAATCCAAACTTCACAGAACAAATTGTTCCCCACCCCTGGACTAGAATATAGAATGTTAGAGCTAAAAGGGACTTTAGAACACAGAACGTTAGACATGTAAGGGATGTTAGAACATAGGATGTCAGAGCTGGATGGGACTTTAGAACATAGAATGCTAGGACAGAAAGGGATATTAGAACATGGAATATTAAAATTATAAGGGATCTTAAAAGATAGAATGTTAGACCTAGAAGAGATAGAACATAGAAGGTTGAAGCTGGAAGTTACTTTAGGACATAGAATATTAGATCCATAAGGGATCTTAGAACAAAGACTGTCAGAGCTGGAAGCTACCTTAGAACACAGAATGTTAGGGCATATAACAAAATGTTAGAGATGGAAGGAACCGTGGAGAATGTCAGGTCTTCTCTGTTCCTTTAACAGATAAGTGAGTCCCAGAGAAGCAACAGGTTTACCCCAAGGTGCACAATGAGTCAGTGACTAGAATCTAGCTGGGGCATCCTAACCATATCCTCCTTTCAGCAGACCAGTCTGCCTCTTTTGCACTGGGGTCAACTGTGGACGGGGCCTTGCATGTTGGACACAGTTCTTGACCTGAGATGTGGAATCCTTGTGCATGTAAAGAGTTCAGATATCAAAGAAATGAATAATAATAGCTAATATTTGTCATTAAATGCTTAGTATTCCATTGTTCTAACAAAAAGTCAGATCCCATATCTCATTCAATTAAAATGATCCCATACCTTATCGATTTAAAAGGACAAATAGTTTTTTGGCCTGGACTTGTGATTTCATCAATATAAGAAACTCCCAGTGTAAAAAATCCCTCCCAAGGTCCAAATTGGCAGTTTCTCTGTGACTTACCAGTCTTAGAGAGTGGTGTGATGTACCTAGATATTAAATGACTTGCCCAGGGTTACATCTCTAGTTTCAGAGGTAGGCTTGAACCCAAGGCTTCCTGACCACAAGGCCAGGCCTCTCTCCACTACCCCGTACTGCCTTTTAAATAATATAATGGTTTAGTATAACAACAAAATTTTAAATGACCATTTAAATAACCGATTTATATTTAAGATTGGCAGAGTACCTCCCTCTACCAATATAGATCAACCCCTGCTCTGCAGCTTATAATCTTGGAGTTGGTCCATATGACCAGAGTGTATCAGAGGAAGGCCTTGGACCTCGGTCTTCCTGACTCCAAGGCTGGCTGGCTTTCTATCCATTATACCATGCTGCTTCTCCCCCACACACCCTCACAAGAGCTGTTTTATGCACGTATTAAGAAATTGAAACTCAGAGCATTCAAGTGATATGTCCAAGATCACCCAGCTAGCAAGCGGCAAGGCCTGGATTTGAATCTAGCTCTCCCCTGATTCTTGGTCCAGGGCTTTTTTCCCTCCTCCAGCTTGCTTCTGTGTATTCAGGTGTGGAAGAGAAGGCATGGAGCAACCATGGCCTGGCTAGTTGCAATCCAGGGTGGCTTCCCAGGGGAGGGTGGCATTTCAGGAACTGGCCTCAGTGCCCTTTCTCTCCCCATTTGCCCCCACCCCAGGACCTCCACGTTCCCAACGAAGACAGGATCAAGCAGCTCCTGGGACAGAACGCCTGGACCTCCCAGAAGAACGAGCTGGTCTGCTTCTACCCCCGGCTGGCAGCCAAGTCGGACACAGGCAAGATCGGGCTCATCAACCTGGGGAACACCTGTTACATGAACAGCGTGATCCAGGCTCTGTTTATGGCCTCTGAGTAAGTAGTGCTTTAGGAGTTTCTTAACTTTGCTCCTGGCAGGAGGGATGAAGGGAAGAGAGCCAGGGTGGTGAGCGGCCTGGAGTTCGTGCTGTAGAAAGAAGAAGGATCAGTCGGAGGCCCTGGCGATGTTTCACCAGAAGAGAAGACCGTCGTCAAGTACAGGCAAGAGAGAGATCAGATGTGTTCTGCTCGGCCCCAGAGTACAGAACTAGGGGCCATGGATGGAAATTAGCAAGAGAGAGGACTGTCGGTTCAGGAAGGCAGGTTTTAGCTCATTTCAAGGGGACACTTCCTAGCAGTTAAAGCTTCTACCCTTTATGTTGTGGAGGAAGAAACTGAAGCCCAGGGAGAGAAAATTACTTGGCCCAAGTGGCAGAGCTAAGACTGGATAAAGGCCAGGCCTCCCAGCCTCCAGTCTAGCACTCACTGCACCTCATCGTGTGGCACCCTCTGTGAGACTTAGCAAACATCTTGAGGCATCTATTGTCTCTGGGCACCCCAAGTGAGGCGATTCCCTCCTTTTTAGCACCCTATCCTTAATTATATCCAGTTGGGTGCCCCAAATAGAAGCATTCTCTTCTCTCAATGTCTGAAGGGATCAATCCTTGAGAATTTCTATTATTTGAAGGCACCAGAAGGAGTCTCCCCCCGCCCTCCCATCAACTGGGTTTTTGAGGCAAAAGAGCCAGATTCAAATCCTGGCTGTGTCACTGCCTGTGTGACCTTGGATGAGTCATTTTCCCTCTGGGCGTCTCAGTTTCCTTCTCTATAGAAGGAAGAGCTTAGATATACAGTCTCATATGTTTGCTTCCTGCTTTGTCTATGCCCTTTATCAGAGAATCTCAGAGTTGGAAGAGACCTCAGAGGGCACTGAGTTCAATCCTGCCTCTACAACATCCCCAAGACAGGTTTGCCCAACTTCGGTTTAAATGCCACTCTCCTTCTCTAGTTTCTTTCCTGTAAAATGGGTTTGTTAATCTGGGTGATGACGCCTGAGGCCCTTTCTCATGCTAACATCCTATGATATTGTTACCCTGCCACCTCCAGGGGCAGATGCTTACCCTCAGACAGCTCTGATTCTTAGAAAGTTCTTCAAGGCGCAGCTAGGTGGCGCGATGTACCCTGTTAGGTTCTATCAAACACGGGAGCTGAGTTCAAATTTGGCCTCAGATACTTACTAGCTGTGTGACCCTGGGCTAGTCACCTAACCCTGATTGTCTCAAAAAAACCAAAAAGTTCTCCCAAGCCAAAATCTGCCTCCCTGCAGCTGCTCCCCACTCATTACTCCTAGTTCTGCTCTCTGGGGTCAAGCAGAAAGAGTTGAAAGCTGTTTCCACATGACAGTGCTTGACATTCGTCATTCCATCTATCGATGTTGCCTCTCCCCTGACTCTTCTCTTCTCCATGGCAGATGTTTCTGGGCCCTCCTACCAGGCTGCCCCAATATGTCTCTAACCTAACCTGTATGTCTCTGGCTTGCTTCGAGCTTCCGACACTGTGTTCTGCATCTTCCTGAAGACAATTCTCAGCCCCTGATGACCAAGCTGCAATGGCTTTTTGCCTTCCTCGAACACAGCCAGGTGACTATGTCTCTGCTCACTCCCAAGGGTAGGGGGTAGAGGCAGGTAGCAGTGAGGCCTACGGGACATGCTGAATGACTAGGCCAATATATAGACACACAGTATAGTTTGTAAGAGGGAGAGAGAGTGGGATGAACTGAACTGGTCTGGGAAGGCCTGTAATTCACATTTCTGGGAAGAGGTGATAAGGACCAGGATCAAAATACAATCAAAAAGAAAAATAGTCCCTACCCTGGAGGAGCTTACATTCTAATGGGAGAATACACAACACACAAAAGGGAGAGGAAAGTCAGGGGGTTGGAGGAGAGCAGGTACCCAGAGCCCAGGGGCATGATGTAGAAGGCCAGGTAGACAGGAAGAGGGATGGAGGTTGTCTGGCCCCATTCCCCCCCAAAATGGAGGCCTCAGGTGGAACTCGCCAAGAGAAGGGAGCTGGCTGCAGATAGTGTGGAAACTCCAGCATGAGGAGGCTGTATAAGATGCTAATTGTGTAAATAAATTAATTAGATTAATTAGCTAAAAAGATTAATTGCTATGTGGGCGGTAAGGTTGAAGAGAGATAATGTGGTCAGGGAAGATGTGAGACTTGGACTTTTTTCCTGTTTCCTTCCCACCCTGTGGATCTGAAGAGCAGCGGAATGGGCCAATGATAGGATCTCAGGGTGGGAAAGTAAGCAACCCATGCTTAAATAAGATCCCCTCTATACCATTCCCAATAAATGGCCATCCAGCCTCTGACTGAAGATCGTTAGTGACAGTGAGCTAACTGTCTCTTGAGGCAAGCCCTTCTTTCTGTTTCCAGACAGATAGCTTCAAGTTCTCCCTTCCATCCAGTGGGGATCCAGCCCCTTGCGCCCACTCATTGCTCCCAGATCTACCCTCTGGACAGAATCACAGAATCACAGCTCAGCACTCCCAAGCTCAAGCGATCCATCGCCTTGGCCTCCCCAGCAGCAGGGATTATAAGCATGCATCACTACCCCTGGCCATGCTTTTATTTTCTTTTAATTTCTTTTTGTCCTATTAAATTCTTTTAAAATTTAATGTTATTATTTTTTCCAATTAACAAGTAATTATTTTCTTTTCCTTACCATACCAACATCGAATAATTAAAAGAAAATACTCATGTCAAATATGTGTATTTAAGCAAAACAGATTTACCCACTGGTTATGTCCAAGTCTAAGCTCCTTTTGTCCCACACTGCTTCATCCAGGGTGGAAGTGGGCTTCAAATTCCATGCTGTTTGCATTAGTCTACACTTTCTCCTACAAACATAGAGAAGAAAGAGATGGCTAAGAGGGAGAGCAGGGTGCAGAGGCCCTGCTCCCTGGAGCACAGGGAGTTGGCAAGGTGCACCCTGTTTCATAGACCTTCTTTCTTTTATTTCCCCTGCTGTTAGCGGCCTGCTGTCTCTCCAGAGAGCTTCCTGTCTGCTTCCTGGACTCCCTGGTTCAGTCCCGGTGCTCAGCAGGACTGCTCTGAGTACCTGAAGTATCTGCTGGATCGGTAAGGAAAGGTCATGGAAAGAGAGAGAGAGAGACAGAGACAGAGAGAGAGACAGAGACAGGGAGGGAGGGAGAGACATACAGATAGGCATCTCAGCTCCTTGAAGAAAAGTCAGAAGTTCTGACCCAGCTGGTTGCCATCATACTGGGGACTTTCTAGGAAAACCTCTTCCTGAGCTGGGGAGTAAGTTTATGCTAAAAATAAAAGGAAGTGGGTTTAATTTATCTGGAGGAGAAGGGCAAGGGTGGCCTTGTGGATTGATGCAAGGTGGGAGTAGGAGTGTTGTCAAGCAGTGCTTTCTGACTAGTGAGCACAGAACGAGGCCAACGGCCCCCATTGCAGGCAGAGGGTCTTGGGTTAGACATCAGGAGAAACATCTTGAATTTCAAAATTTCCTGAGAAAGGGGACCCTTTTTCAGAAGCAGGTAGAACCCCCAGTGGATTGGCAAGAGAGTGCTTTCTTATTTATTTCAGTATGTCCTCTAGTACCTAGCCCAAGGCACCGCTCAGAGTCAATAAATGTTGACTCATTCTGTAAAGGCCTGGGCAATGAAACTTGTATGTAGGATCCTTGTTGAGCTGAAGGAAAATAAGGGAAAAATGCTATAATGCTGATAATAACTGATCCCTGGAATGTTTAAAAGTTGGAGAAGCCTTTTATATGCATTATCTGATTGGACTGTCACAATAAAGGTAGGTACTTCAGGGATTATTTTTCCCATCTTCAAGATGAGGAAACTGAGGCTCAGGGAGAAGTTAAGTGACTTGACTTGGCCAGATAGCTAGTTCATGGCAGAATCAGGATTTGAACTCAGATCTTCTGAACTTTAAAATCTCCATCCACTATGCCTTTCTCATAGAAGTACGGTAATAATAGGAATATAGTAACATTGATAACTGTAATACTCAGCAAAAGCCTGGCTCTGATGCTACTTCATAGGGTGGAGGTGACGCTGGGCTCTCACTGCCTGAGGACATACTCTGACAGCTCTTTTCCAACTGGAAAGGCTTTGATTATGGGCCCAGAGATGGGCTATGTCTGTTTTGTAAGGACCAGCCTGGCTTAGTGAGGAGAGTCTCATCCTCAGAGGGTTTGGGTCTTTGCAGCTCTCAAAAAGCACCTTCTAAGGGCAATGGGATTATGATTTCTGTTGGCGGAATGAGCCCCCACCCACCCCACCATGCGACCATAGATACATGAAGCACTAGTGATGATGACGATAACTGTAATAAAGACTCCCATGTGTATAATGCTTTCAGGTTTATGAGATCCATAGGGGGAAGATCATAAGATCCTTGTGTTTAAATTCAATAATCCTTTATTGAACACCACATGCGAACCCATGTGCTTGGCCCTGAGGGAGGCACAGAGTTGACTAAGACACTGTCCTTGCCCTCATGGGACTTATGGTAGAGGAGAAGTTAGCTGTTCATCCACAAACAAGCATTTGTTAAGTGCCTACCACGTGTCAAGTATCATGTTAGGGGCTGGAAGTACAAAGACATGAATGAAATAGTCCCTGCCCTCAAAGGGTCAATGTTCTATTGAGAGAGAAAATGTGCAAATTAATACAAAGTAATATGAAGTAATTAATATGAAGTAATTTTGGAAAGGGGAAGAACAGTAACAGGGGAATACAAAAGGCCTCATTTAGAAGGAGGCGCTGAGCTGAGTGATGAAGGAACCCAGAGGGTCACAGGGGGAATCCTTCCATGGGTTTGTGAACTTCCAGGCTGGTATGGGGACTGGAGATTCAGACCATGCATGAATCAGATGAAAGAACTGCTGGTGTTCAGTCTCAAAAAGAGAGAACTCAGGGCAGCTGGGATAAATGCCTTGTAGTCTCTGACCAATTTGTAGTTCTCCTTGGGTCCAGAGGATAGAGCTAGAAGCACAGGATTTGAATGCAAGCTAGAAAATACCAGGAGGCAAACTCCAGATGTAAGCAGAAAAATTTTAAGTATGCCAGGTAGATTACAGGGTAGATTTTTTTAAAATGCTAATGAAATAATATAAATAAATAAATGGAAAAAAATGATAATGAAATAATATAAGTAAATAAATGAATGAAAAAAAATAATGATAATGAGGAACTGTGCCAGGTCCTCAGGCCTGCACCTGGATTTGGTGTAGGAAGATGGAGATTTAAATGCTAACTGCTGTTAACTCTTTATTTAACTCTGGACATGTCATTTCTCTTTGGGACTCTATAAAATGAGAAGATTGGAATAGATGTACCTTAAGGTTCATTTTAGTTCTAGATGCATCAAGTTACAGAAAAGCACATTTTGGCTCAATATAAGTAAAAACTTACTAACAATTGGCCCTGTCCAAAATGTAAGGTGCTGCCTAAGACCTCCCTTGCTTCAGTGAACTGCTGGATGGCCACTGGGAGATCCTGGAGACAGGATTCTTGCTCAGCTGGCTCTGAGGTCCCTTCAGATTCCAAGATTATTCTCTGATAGATCATAATAGATCACACTAGGGTAGGGGAATAGGGGCCATGGCAGCCTGACTTGCCAGAGATCTTCTCCCAGGTTCAGGAAGTGCTTGGATCATGGGGCCCATTGTGTTGAGGGTTAAAGAGTGAGCATCTGACCTCAGAGAAATGGAAGGGCTATGGAAGAGAGATTAGGAGAGTGAGGGAGGGGCCTGGAGCAATTCTGAGAAACAGAATTAGGGGGAAGTGGGAGGAGGTGGTGAGGGAGGAACCAAGAAAGTAGAATTCCAAAGACTGGCTTTGCTTAGATCGATAAAATCGAGTATTTAATGCTCAGTCAAACTTGGTGTGTGTGTGTGTGTGTGTGTGTGTGTGTGTGTGTTTAAAAATGTGACTATGTAAAGATGAATATATTTGTGTGTGTGTGTGTGTGTCTGAATGGCTGTATGTGATTAATAACTCAGGATGTGAATGAGTGTGTATTATATCTGCATTTATGTATATAGCGTTTGTATCTGCATGTCTATGAACAGGCATGTGTATAAGGGAGTTATCTGTGGATGTGTGACTGTGTTTGTGCATATGCTGGTACAAGGTGGTAGAACAGGAAATGCCCCAGACTGGAAGTTTGAAGATCTTCAGAACCTGGACTGGCACCCGGCAGGTCACTGCCCCAATCTGAGCCTCCATTACTTCACCTGTAAAATGAAGACTAGGGGACGAGCTTGATGGTCCGTCCCTCCCAGCTCTCCCATTCTCTGTTTATGTGCTAAGGGTCCTGCCAGCTCTCACATTCCAAGATTCTGTCACTGTATGTTCTTGTCTGTATCCAGTTATAGGAATATGTATATTTATCTGAGAGCTTAAGTGTGTATTTGTGACAGAGGTGGCTTTGGTAGGTGGAAAGAACACAGAATTGGGAGTTCAGAGGCTTGGATTTGAATTCCACTCTGAAACTTACTATTTTGGGTAAATCACTTCCTCTCTCTCTCTGTCTGAGCCTCAGTTTCCACATTTATAAAATGGGACTGATAGTCTTGTTGTGAAGATACATTGAAATAAAATGATAAGGCCATGTGAAACCATAAAGATGTTTATAACTGTGTGGTCTTATGATTCATGTACACATGTGCCTGCATGCATATGCATGTATAAATGTATGTGCATGTATATCAGTGATTGATGCATGTGTGCATATATGCATGCATAAATTCACACCTATATTTTGCACTTGTGAGTGTATGAATGTATACATGATTATGTTGAAATGTGTGTATATATGCATACAGATACTGTGTGGTGATGGTGTACGTCTTTCTTCTCTGCATGCCTTCCCTCCCTCAATCCTGCTGCAGATTGCACGAAGAGGAGAAAACAGGGAAGAGAATTTGCCAGAAGCTCAAACAATCAAACACACCGTCCCCACCAGAGGAACATCCCACCCCAAGCCCAACAGCCGTAGAGAAAATGTTCGGTGGGAAGATTGTGACACGGATCCGCTGTCTCCGCTGCCTTAACATCTCCACCAGAGAGGAAGCATTCACTGACCTCTCCCTGGCCTTTCCACCCCCCGACCGCCGTCGCCGTCGCCTGGGCTCTGTCATGCTGCCAGTGGAAGATGTCAGGGTCCAAGGCCCTCCATCACCGGCCAAGACCCAGGGTGCAGGCACCGAGGGGGCCCGGAGACAGAGAAAGCACTGTATTGCTGGGGATGCTCTGCCCCCGGCTGTGAGCATTGAGATCCTTGGGTTCAAGGAACCTGGAGGGTACAGAGGCAACTTCAGACAAGAGGATGAAAAGGAAAAGAAAGAAAAAGAAGAGAACGATGATAAAAAGGAAGAGGAGAAGGAAGACGTGGAAGAGAAGACTCAGAAAAAGGAGAAAAAAGAAGAGGAGGAGAAGCAAGAGGAGGAAGAGGAGAAGATGGAGGAGATGGAGAAAAAAGAGAAGGCAGATAAGAAAGATCAAAAGGAGAAAGAAGAGAAGAAAAAGGATAAAGAGAAGGAGGTGGAGAAAAGGAATGAAAAAGAGAAGGAAGTAGAGAAACAAAAGGAAGAAGAGAAAAAGAAGGAAGAGAAAGTGGAGAAAAAAGAAGAGAAGAAGGTAGAGGAAAAGGAGGAGGAAGAGAAAGAGGTGGAGAAAAAGAAGGAAAAAGAAGAGGTGGAGAAAAAGAAGGAAGAAGAGGAAGTGAAGATAAAGGAGGAAGAGAAAAAGAAAGAAGTAGAGCAAAAGAAGGAGGAAGAAAAGGTGGACAAGAAGGAGGAAGAGAAAAAGAAGGAAGTAGAACAAAAGGAGGAAGAAAAGGTGGAGAAAAAGGAGGAAGAGAAGAAGGTAGAGAAAAAGGAAGAGGAAGGCAAAGAGATGGAGAAAAAGATGAAGAAAAAGAAAGAAGAGAAAGAGGTAAAGAAAAAGAGGGAGGAAGAAAAGGAGGTAGAGAAAAAGGAGGAGGAAGGGAAAGAGATGGAGAAAAAGATGAAGAAAAAGGAGGTAGAGCAAAAGAAGGAAGATAAGGTGGAGAAAAAGAAAAAGGAAAAGGAAGAGGGAGAGAAAAAGAAAGAAGTGGAGCAAAAGAAGGAGGAAGAGAAGTTGGAAAAAAAGAAGGGAAAAGAGAAGGAGGTAGATAAAAAGAAAGAAGAGAAAAAGGAGGAAGAGAAGGTAGAGAAAAAGGAGATGGAGGAAAAGGAAAAGGAGGTCGAGAAAAAGAAGGAAGATGAGAAAGAGGTGGAGGAAAAGGAGGAAGGAAAAGAGATGGAGAAAAAGGAAGTGAAGAAAAAGAAGGAAGAGAAGGAGATGGAGATGGAGAAAAAGAAGGAAGAGAAGGAGATGGAGATGGAGAAAAAGAAGGAAGTGGAGCAAAAGGAAGAAGAGAAGGTGGAGAAAAATGAGGTGGAGAAAAGGAAAGAAGAAAAGGAAATAGAAAAAAAGGAGAAAGAGAAGGAAGTAAAAGAAAAGGTGGAGAAAAAGAAGGGAAAAAAGGTGGATGAAAAGAAAGAGGAGAAAAAGGAAAATGAGGAGAAAGAAAAGGAGGAGAAAAAGAAAGAAGAGGAAGGTTGCCTAGGTCCAAAGACTGGAGGGAACCCGGGGGTTGCCTCTGGGGAGCAGATGTGTGGCCCTGAGGGTTCTCGGTCAGTCCCAGATCTTCTCAATTACTTCCTGTCACCAGAGACTCTGACAGCCGAGAACCGTTATCACTGTGAGCATTGTGCCTCCCTGCAGGATGCAGAGAAGGTGGTTGAGCTGAGCAAGGGACCCCGCTACCTCATCCTCACCCTTCTGCGCTTCTCCTTCGACCTACGGACCATGCGTCGGAAGAAGATCTTGGACAACGTCTCCATCCCCCTGTTCCTTCGGCTTCCCATGGCGGGTGCCTGCCCTCAGCAGGACCAGGGCCAGGCCTGTGCAGCCTATGACCTCTGCAGCGTTGTGGTGCACTCAGGCATCTCTTCAGAAAGTGGCCATTACTACTGCTACGCCCGGGAAGGGAAAACAGCCACCGTCAACTCGCCAGGGTCCACGGGTCTCTCATCTGCTGAAAAGCCCCCAGGACTGGAGAGCCAGTGGTATTTGTTCAATGACACTCGGGTCTCCTTCTCCTCCTTCGAGTCAGTCAGTAATGTCACTTCCTTCTTTCCCAAGGACACAGCTTATGTGCTGTTCTACAGGCAGCGAGCCAGAGAGGGGATTAGAGCAGAACCCAGGTCACCCAGACCCCACAGTGAACCAGCCCTCCACAAAGACTTGATTGAAGCCATATCTAAAGACAACATTCTTTACTTGCAGGTGAGCAGAGCAGGCCCCAAACACTTAGGTGGGTCTTCCTTCTAACTGAGTCTCCAATACCCTTATCTGTAAAATGGGAATATTATAATTTACACTTCATCCCTCCCAGGATGGTTATGACCATCCACACTGCGGGAGTGATTTTTAACTATTATTGCTGTTATTATATTTATGTCCCTCTAGGGGAAGTTACAGACATTCCTACTCTCTTTCTATCCTGACCTCATGCATCTTGTATTTGAAGTGAAGCTTGCCAGGACCACCTCACAGTTACAGCTGTGCCTTGCTTTATACAACAGCTGTGTTCCCCTAAACATTGTATTTAAATCCATTAAAAAAAAATCTGTCCCAAATTTAATGCCCTTAGGAGAGGGGGCTATTTAGAGAGTCACACAATGTTCAGGCCAGAAGGGACTTTAGAACTCAAGGTTAGAATGTAGAACATAAAATGTTAGTAACAGGATTGTAGTTACTAGCTGTGTGACCTTGGGCAAGTCACTTAACCGCAATTGTCTAACCAAAACAAACAAACAAAAAAAAGGATTGTAGAATGGTAGATCCTAGAACATCAGAACATAGAATGTTAGAGGGTCCATAGAACATGGAATGTTAGAATATCAGATGCTAGAGTTGGAAGGGACCTTAGAATGTAGAATGTTAGAAAAGAGAACATGGAGTATTAAAGCTAGACAGGACCATAGAGACCCTCTCATTCATCTCCCTCATTGTTTATATGATGAAAGTGAGTGCCAGAGAGAAGAAATGTTATGAGTGTCTTCATCATACAACAGGTCAATGGCACAGCTGAGATTAAAACCAGGAGGCTTCTGGGAGTCAGGGATCTTTGTATTTCACCATTCTGCCTCTTCTGTGGTCCTCTGGAACAACACTTTCCTGTGTCCTATTAAACAGAGAACATGTCTCCATGCAAAGCTCCTTCCCAACAGGCACATGTGCAGAGAAGTGGCTGAAGTCAGCTGTCTCTCCCATTCCCTTTGCATGGAGACTGAGGACTGGTTGATGACTCTGCCCATCTGTATCCAGGCGGGCCTAAACCTGTCCAATAGGACAAATTTTCTACAGGAATTAGACCTTAAAGGAAAGGAGGGTCTCCACCAATGAAGATGAGGTCCAGCCAAAGGGATGGGTTGGAGGTTGGAGGCAAGAGCCAAGAGGGGGATAAGAGAAAGCAGCATGAGAACAGGAGATGGAGAGTTCTCTAATTTCAGGGAACACAGGGTATTGAAGGGTAACATGGAACTAGATTGTAGAAACCCTTGAAGACCAAAGTTGATAATTTTTTCATTTGGCCAGTCAAGAGCCATCGTGATTAGAACCTACGTGTTCAAATAAGTGTGATCTAGGATCATAAATTTAGAGCTGGGAGGAACTTTAAAGATGAGAGGTTCTTTTTTTTTTTTTTAAGATGAGAGGTTCTTAACCTGGGGTCCATGAGCTTATTTAAAAAAAATATTTTGATAACTATATTTCAATATAATTGGTTTTTGTAATTCCATGTATTTTATTTTCTATCTTTAGAAACATTATTTTGAGAAGGTGCCCATTGGTTTCACTGGTCTACCATAGTTGTGGGGGGAGTCTGTGACACGAAAGATCCCTATTCTAGTGTGGTTCCCTTATTTTACTGTAGGGTAAACTAAGGCAAACTAAGGCAAAATAACTTAGGGTCATTAAAGATGTGTAGGACTTGAACCCAGATCTTTTCTTTGAACCAGATTTTCCAAGTCCAAGACTCTTTCCACCCTACCACACCAGCCCCTTTGGAGTCCTGGTTACAATATATTAGGACTGTATTAGGAAACCTTTTTAAGAATTGCTTTCTGGGCCAGGCAAGAGGCCACACGGGAAAATCTGCTTCATTACATCTTGAATCAAAAAGGGACAACAGCTCTTCTGTCCAAGAAACTTTAAATCTAATACAGCGGGTCTGGGGGAAGGGGGAGGGGAGGGAGCAGCCAAGGGGGAGAGAGTGAATACATGAAGAGAGGGAAGGGGTGAAGGAGGGCTTCATGGAGGAGGTGACACCTGGAAGACAAAGATGATGGGGCTGGGATCTCCTGGCTGGAGATGTTATTAAAAGTGCCTGCTCTGTGGTGTCCCCAAGTCCTGCAGGCAGGAAGGGCCAGGGTCAGGACTGAGAGATTATACCAGCTTGGCTGCTTCTCAGGCCTTGTGGTCTTAAGTAGGAAATGATCCTCTCTTAGCCCTAGAGTATAAAGCTAGGAGCCATGGCCCTCTCTTAAAAGAGGCAGGTCTGAGCTCAAAAGAATGCAGACTTCTAAATCCAAGATGTCCAATGATGGCACAGGCTGTCTCGGAAGAGAGTGTGCTCCCTATCATTGGAGGTATTCAAACAGTCCAATCAAAGAAGGGCTCTGTCAACTGTGAAAGACAATATATCTGGTCTTTGGGACATCTGTAAAAAGAGGAGGTCAGACACTATGATCCTTGCAGCTCTGACAGAGTTCTTGGCCCACAGCTCCCCATTTCTATAGCTTTTTTGAGATTTACTATATTCCCGTGAGGAGTAGCTAGGTGATATAGTCGATAGAGTGCGAGGCTTGGAGTTAGAATAGACCTGAGTTCAAATCCAGCCTCACATACTTAGTAGCCATGTAGCCTTGGGCAAGTCACTTAACCCTGTTTGCCTCAGTTTCCTCATCTGTAAAATGAGTTAGAGAAGGAAATGGCAAAACCCTCTAGTATCTCTGCCAAGAAAACCCCGAAAGGGATCATGAAGAGTCAGACACAGGAGTAGCTAGGTGGCACAGTGGATAGAGCACCAGCCCTGGAGTCAGGAGGACCTGAATTCAAATCCAACCTCAGACCAAACACTTGACACTTACTAGCTGTGCGACCCTGGGCAAGTCACTTAACCCCAATTGCCTTAAAAAAAAAAAGTCAGACACGACTGAAAACAACTAAACAAAAACAAATATTCTTGTGATCTAGGGAATGCAAGTTGTATTAGTTCCACATTCTAGGCATGGAAACTGAGGCCCAGAAAGGGGCCTTATAGTAGTTAGACACAGATCACACAAATAGGAGGAAAATAAGCATTTATTAATTACCTACTGTGTGCCAGGTACTGTGCTAAGCATTTTACAAATAATCCTCGCATGTGAGGTAGGTGCTATTATTATCCCCATTTTACAGTTAAGGAAACTGAGGCAGACAGAAATTTAAATGTCTTGCCCAGGGGCACTCAGCTAGTGTCTGGGGTCAGATTTGAACTCTGGTTTTCCTGACTCTAAGCTCTATACGCTATGCCACCTAGTTGCTGTAAGTGGCAGTTATGGAACTTGAAGGTCTTCTACCTCCAAGCCCAGGACTCTTCCTGTCACGCCACCCTGGCAACAAGGACGGTTTCAGGGAGAAGGCGGAATTTGAGAGTGTCTAGTGCTTCCAGGCCTCTGTCCAACCCCTTAGATCACCTGATGCTTGTTTCCTGCACCAAGTCTAGGATACCCTCCGTGCCCCCATGCAGCACTGGAATCCTTGGCTTCTCCTTCTTGGATATGCAAGTTCTGGTGTGCTTGTTAAACATTCATTCCTGCTACTTTATAGTTACCACTTATCTAAGCTTATCTAATCCAGGCCATGCTCCTGAGGAATTGGTTGGGGCAGACCTGGAATTAGAATGAATCCTAGTGTTTTGACTTTCTGGTTTTTTTCTGCTATCATTTAAGAGCTATTCTGGGGGAATCAGGGGCATTTGTATAGTAAAGACCACCTCAAAAAATGAAACACGCTCTTTCTGTAATTAGAGTCTGCCTCCCATTCCCCTGCTGCCTGAAGTCCCACAATTAGACAATTATTTTCCTTGAAGTCATTTCCTGGCCTTGTGATTAACTAGCTGTGCAATCATGAACAATCACTTTCCTGCATTGGTCCTCAGTTTAAAATGAGAGGATTGAACTAGAAATCTGGGGTGGGGAACCTGTGGCTTTAAGGTCACTTGTGGCCCTGCAGGTCCTCAAGTGTGGCCCTTTGAATTCAAACTTCACAAAACAAATCCCCTTAATAAAAGGACGAGGCTGTAGGTCCCCCATCCCTGAACTAGATGATCTTTAAGGCCTCATCCTGTGCTGATAATGTTCTCTTGATTCATACAGAGTCATAACTAAGGTGGGGTGATCAGGGCTTTGCCCCAAGGCACCAAAATTTAAGGAGTGAAAAATTGAACACATGCACTCTAGCAGCAGAGATGTCACCAGAGTTACTGATTCTTCCTCCCCTCTGACTGAATTTATCTTAATTATTCCTTTATTATTTTCAAATAAAGTACAGCATTCATTTGAAGGCACAATTTGGATGGCTTGCCCAAGGACGTGTCTTGAGCTTTTTGCTCCAATGCCAAAGCTTCCAGTTGTGGCTCTGATTCCGTGACAATCCTACCTGATGCCCTACTTTTTGGGGGTCATCCTTGACATCCAGTCCTGATCCCGAGCTTCTGTTTTTCCCTTCTCACCCCCTTTACCTGAAACCCCTCTCTCTGTCTCCAGGAACAGGAAAAGGAAGCCAGGAGCAGATCAGCCTACATCTCCGCGCTGCCCAAATCTCCCCCTTGGGGGAGGGACTTTGATGAAGACAAGGATGAAGATGACGAAGGCTCCCCAGGGGGCTGTGACCCAGCAGCTGGAGGCAACGGCAGCTCCTTCCACAGACTTGTCTTCTAGGGGTCTTGACCCCAATCCCGTGCTCTCTTCCTAGTCCCCAGCCTGCTCTGTGATACCCCTTCCCTTGCAAGGCCACCTCAGGCCCCTTCTTCCTTAAGCAGGACAAGACAGGGTGGGCTCAGAGATTTCACCATACCAACTGAGGACTTAGGTTGGACAGGGTCCTATCTTCAAATATAGGAAGCAGACTTGTTCTTCCTCGCCTAGCTTCCTAGCAGGATTAGGAACAATGGGAGAAAGTCAAGGAGAGCAGATTTCAGCTCAGAGCTGTCCAATCATGGAGCAGGCTACTTCTCCATGGGGAGTGAGCTCCTCGTCATGGGAGATATTCAACCAAAAGGCAGATGACCACTTGTTGGGGACATCGTAGAGGGGATTTCTATTCAGGTACAAGTTGAACTACATGACCTCTGAAGTCCCTTCAAGCTCTGAGATTCTCTGACTATACCTTCTGGAGGAAGGCCATCTAAGGAGGCCATCTAAGGCCTTTTCTGAGGGGGTAGAGGCAGAGGTTAATGGTACAGGCCCGGCCTAGGGCCCGTGGGAGTATGGGCTTTTGGTCAATTTGCTCTAGGAACTGGGTCCTCAGGACCTGACTCAGAGAGTACCCAAGCATAGTGCACACAAAAGTCTGTTCAGATGCCATATAAATTTGTATCCTCATTGATTTCACTGAAATGCCTGCTGTGTACAAACAGCTATGTCAGGGTCCTCTGGTAACAGTGCTTTGACTCAAGCACATATGGTGGCCAGTCAAAGACAAATGGCCCTGGGCCTGGCTTATGTAACAGCTGTATTCTATTACAAAAGTACATGATCAGGTCTGGGGAGATGAGGCATCACTGACCTTCACAGCTCTAATGTTCTGCCATCATGCAGCATTTGCCTCCTTACCCCTTTTCCTTTTCCTCCCCTCCATCTTCCCCATCATGTGCAAATAACGTCATCATTCCCTGATAACGTACTCTGAACTCTCCAAATCGGGGAGATCATAGACTGGAGAAGGATGGGTGAGGCAGTGTGGGTGTTGATGTAACCTTTCTTTTTTCCCCCAGTGCAGGTATATTTAGTCTGGGCCCACAAACCTTCTCCACCCCACCCCACCAAGGGCTCCACGGAGAGATCTCGGGGTGTCCATGAACTTGGATGGAGGAAAAAAACCAAAACATCTTCATTTGCATTCACAGCTGAATTTAGCATTTCCTTCAGTTATTTTTAAAGCATGATTCTGAGAAGGGGGGTCTACTGTAGGCATCACCAGACTGCCAGAGGGGTCCGGGATACCCCAATGGTTAAGCCTCTTCATTCTAGTATGTTCAGCAGAGCACTTAATTTAATTGACTCATTCATTCTGGAAGCCTCAGTGTGGTCATAGGATCTTTATAGAACAATCAGATTTAGAGCTATAAAGGAACTCATCTAATCTACCCTCTTATTTTACAAATGTGGAAACTGAGGTCCAAGAAGAGACATGACCTGCTTAAGGTCATAGTTAGCAAAGCCAGGATTCTTTGCCAGCTTTTGCCAATTGCATGTACAGTATGATGGGGAGTGACCTTGCCCACTCACCTCTATACTACCTCTATACTGCTGCTTCCCTCTTCTCTAGGACAGGAAAGACTCAGCCTGGGCCTGGTCCCTTGGCTGTGCTTGAAATGTGGTGGGTTTACCTGGGATTGCTGTTTATTTTACTAAGAGACTAGCACATTTTGCAGCTAGGAGAGGGGAGTGGTGACCCAGCAAATGGTTCTGTTCCAGATGTGGTAGCTATATTTCTGCAGTGTTTTCACATCCATTAGACCATGGGAGGTTAAAGCTGGGAGGGACCCTGGAGACCATTCCAGTCCTAAGAGAGTGAGTGCTGAAAGGACCTTGGTCCAATCTCTTTTTACAGATGAGGAAACTGAAGGCCACCAAAGGAGAGGGCCTCTCAGAAGGACTCACAGGTAGAGCTGGGATTCACACCCAGATCCTCTGACCCAGCATTTTCACTAAATCATGCAGCCTCAGTTTTATCCTTACAACCTCCTAGTCATATTGGTGTTATATTTTTATCTCCATTTTGTTAATGGGGAAACTGAGGCTCAGAAATGGTTGATCTGAGAGTGCCCCCTACCAGCTTGTTCTGGTGCCTGAGTAGTCCCCTTAGAGTTGCCCATGTTAAGATCCTTGTATCTTTTTTAAATTGGGGAGGTGGGGGGAGCATTTTACATTATTAGTTTAGTATGCATACAGAACTTGAGGGTCCAGTTCTGTTACTTGCCTCATATGGGACCTTGGGTAAGTCACATCCCCTCTGATCTTTGGTGGCCTCATCTCCCAACCTCAGGGGGTTGTTGTGGGGAAAGGCAGAGTACAGAATAAGTGAGCCACCATCATCAGCCATTAGCATAGCAATAAAGGGGTTCACATAGGAGAGGTGGCACTCTTGCTACTAAAAGGGCTGAGGCTGGTAGATTGCTTGAGCTGGGGAGTTCTGAGACGCAGCAGGGATAAAGCTGACCAGGTGGCCAGAGGAACCCTGGCATCAACGGAGTGAGCCTGTCCTTGGGTCCCTCTCTCCCCTCCCAGCCCCCCCAAGGTTGGGAGGGGCACCACCAGGTTGCCAATGGGAGAAGTGAACTGACTTAGGTCAGAAAGTGATCAGCAAGTCATACCTTCTATACAGATCACTGGTGAGATTGGACCTTTTGGGGGTACTCAGTCTCAAACTAACAAAACCCTCACCAAAAATAGTAAAATTAATAGGTAGGGTTTTGGGGGTTAGGTCTGAGGCCTAGCAAGCTCTGATTTTGTTTGTTTGAGGTAAGAAGTGAGGGGTGAGAGTCCAGAGCTAAAGTAACTGCAAGGGGAGGGGGAGGAATAGCTAGCGGACGGGAGGGAGGCACTGGGTGGAGGGTGCTGTCCTCTCCCCATAGGGGAAGACAGCTTTGGGAACTCCTTTCCCCAAGATGGGCAGCCCATTCTCTTTCCTTTAGCTCCAGTCTTGGGTTTCCCACAACCCAATTTTTGGTTTTGCTTTCCCAAGGACAGCAACACATAAAAATAAAATCATGGTTTCATTGCAATGTGAAAGCTGTTCCCAACTCCCCTCACCTGGCAGGTTCCCTTCATTATTGAGGGGATTGCCCCAAAGTGAAATGGGCTGTAGGTAGTAGGGAGGGAGTACCTCATTCAGCAGACATTTATCAAAAGATCTGATATGGGGGAGATCCTGTGCTCAAGGTGAGGATTCAAAATGTTAAAAAAAAAAAAGTGCCTGCCCTCAAGCAGCTTCTATTCCATAGAAGATTGGAGCTAGGTGGGACAGGAGGCGTGACATGTACATAGGCTTAGGGAGAGGGTGAGAAAAGGAGCCTGGGGACTAGGTGCCTGAAGGGCAGTCTCAGCTAGGGCATCACCCACCAGAAGCAGAGTCCAGATGACCATGTGTCAGGATTGTAGGTTAGATTCTGGTTCTGATAGTGAAGTTCACAGGAGTTAAAGCTGGAAGGGGCCTTGCAGCTGAGCTAGTCCAAGGCTGCCTTGGAGGCAGAGGTAACTTGCCCAAGATCACACTTTCACCCAAGTAGTAGAGTTGGATTTGAACCCAGTTCTGAGATTCTATGGGTCTGTAACTTCTTTCCTTCCTATAATCTAATTTCTCTTGCCTGAGTGGCTGGGAGGAGACCCCCACAGAGCTGGCATTTGGGCCGGACTCTAGACTAGGAATTCCTGAGCTGGGTCCTGAATCTGACTCTTGTCACTGATGGTGTGACTTGGGTAAGTTATTTTCCCTCACCAGGATGGTCTGTGACTAATAAGATACTGGGTACAGTCTCCAATGGGTAAAGTTTTTTGTTTATTTTTGGCGAGGCAATTGGGGTTAAGAGACTTACCCAGGGTCACACAGCTAGTGTCAAGTATCTGAGGCTGGATTTGAACTCGGGTCCTCTTGATTCCAGGGCTGTGCTCTATTCACTCCACCACCTAGCTGCCCTAGGTAAAGTTTTAGGAGAAAGGGTGCTCCTGGGCTTTGAGCAGGGGGAGCAATTGTTTTCCTTCACTCTCAGATAACAAGGGGAAGTCAGATTCTTAGTGGTGAAACTGCAGGTTGACTGATTATATGTACATTTCTGCCACACTCTTCATACCAGTGCTGGGAGGGAGATGGTAGGTCCTGAGTGTGGACCAATATTATCCTAATTTTACAGAAGAGGAAACAGATTCAGAAGAAATGATCATACTGGGGCAGCTAGGTGGCACAGTGGATAGAGCTCTGGCCTTGGAGTCAGGAGGACCTGAGTTCAAATCCGGCCTTAGACCAGACACTTGACACTTACATTTACTAGCTGTGTGACCCTCAAGTGGGCAAGTCACTTAACCCTGAGTGCCTCACCAAAAAGCGGGAAAAAAAAAAAAAGAAATGATCATACAGCTAATATCAGAGATAGGATAGGAGCCCCGGGCAAGTCACTAGTGTCTTCATCTTAACACTCAAAACCCAATGCTCTTTCTCACTTGCTATAAGGCAAAGTGGTTCTGCTTCTCCAGCTTCCCTTCCCCTCAACTTGCCAGACAGGAATGGTGGGATCACTCCCAGGTTGGGGCCTGGCAGTAGCAGACTAGGTAAACAGCCCTGAAGAGTCTCAGGATAATTATTATCCTCCATCATCTTCTTCATCCCCTGGGGCTGAGGAAATACAAGGGCTTAAAATTGGGAAGGTTTCCAAGGGGCAGCATTTCCCTTTTCTTTCCTCCTGCCTTCCATCTTGACCACAGCATTCTCTCCTAACTGTCCGCAGCAGAGACAGGCAGAAGGGAAAGGGGAAGGAGAATGGAAGGTTTGGGGGATGAGTCAGCTCTCTTCAGTGAAAGAGGAGTAGTACTATCTTGGAGTCAAAATTCCTGGCTCTGACACATGGGGACAGTGGGATGTTATATAACCTCACCTGAGCCTCAGCTTTGTCATCTGTAAAATGGGGATACCATTTGCATTCCTGACTTCAGCTGTTTGGAGGGAAGTACTTTGTAAAGTATAAATCATGATAGAAATGAATACTTATTTAACATAGACCCAGAGAGGTGAGATGATTACACAAAATTGATTACACACAGTTGGTGTGATCAGAGCTGAGACTGAAAGTGAGGTCTCAGAGAGAAGTAAGAAGGCAGGGAGTAAGGACCTGGTAAGAAAGGGAGGGGAAAAAATGGGAGCTCTTCTGAGGCATTTCAAGTAGAGGAGAAGACTTCAGCACAATGACACCAAAAGATGCTTCCCTGCTACCTCCTGGACAGGGATGGAACCTGGCCAGACATCAGTCTGCAGTGGAGTGCAAATTTGAGCCCAGTCCTGTCACTTCAATAAGCCTCAGTTTCCCCATCTGAACTGAAACCTTTCTCAGCCTCAGTTTCCTCATCTGTAAAATAAGGGGCTTAACCAGATGACTTCTCAAGTCCCTTTTCCAGTTCTGTCCATGATCCTGAGCTATGTATTAGGCAGCAATACTGGACTGGGACTCACGTTCTGGCTGTGTCTTCTAGCAAATCACCTTGACTCTCTGGGCCTTGTGGTCTCCTCTTCCAAACCATGGGGATGATGCCTGCACTGCCTACCTCTTGGGGTCTTTGTGTGAACCTTAAAGCATCCTGGACATGAGAGGCGTGTGATTCTGTGATGGTGGCGGGGCCCTCGAGCTCCATCCACCATTTGCCTCAGATACAGACAGACTCAGAGGATCAGATTTCTCCTTGCCTTTATTCTCGCCCTACTGTCCTTGGCAGTTAACAAGGGCATTCACTTTCACCGGGCCTGTACCATATTTCATCAACGGCAGAAACATTAGCTACGTTAAACCCATTCCCCACCCTCCGCCCCCTCCCACTCCCAACCTCAAGACCTACTTACAGGATAAATACATGTTACAAAGGCTGCTTTCTTCATCTTCTTTTAAAGGAAAAGAATAAATTAATAATTTAGGCCACTGGCCACCAACAGCGATTTGAGGAAACGCGTCCATTTTCAACAGTTAACATCTCAGGTACACAGTGCACTACAATCCATTTCTCCTCCTTTTGGAGATGGGGGCTTGGGGAAGGTTTCACACAAAGTCTACCCTCCCTTCCCCTTTGGACCCCAGGAAATGGTTCTAGGTTTCAAGACACAGACACCAACGTAGATACAAGAGCATAGCCCCGGGTATCCCCTCGTGGGGCAGCTCTCCAGGGGATGGTCTCGCAGGTTCCTCTGCAGCCATCCCCCACCCCCACCCCAAACCACAAGTCTGGCCTCATGGCCTTTCCAGATCTCTTGGGTTCTTCCTGCTCATTGCAGAATCCAAGAACGTCAGCAGAGGCAAACGGAAGCTTAGAGATCATCCGGTCCATGGAGGGGCAGGGGGCAGGACCTTTATATGTTTCTGTTGGCCTGGGATCAAGGGCTCATTGTCATTCTCCATCTCCCCTTACCCCAACCCTGAGTGGGGGGAGGGGCCGACTAGGGGTTGGCTCCTTGGCACCCACCCACTTGTCCATTTTTCATTGCTCATTTTCGTACAGCCCCAAGGGCTGTAACTGGTGTGGCCACAGCTCAGAACCTTGGTTCTCTACCCATATATTCAATGCCTGCTACATACCTCTATTACCCACTATAAACAAGGCCTCCTGGGGGATAGGTGTGGAAGATGCTTCCCTTCAGTTATTGTTTTGCAGGGGGAAAAAATGGCCTCTTTTATATCCACACCCCTGGACAATTGCTTTTCGATCTGCATTGAGCCGGACAGCATAGGCCGGGCTGTATGTGATGTCACCAACATGTATAATATCTGCCTATAACCCTGCCAAGCAAGGCCCAAGGACCAAACTCTGGCCCTCATTCTGTGTATTTGTTGGAATTGCGGGGGAAAGAGTAGTTACACAGCTTCGAATGTGGCAGGTGTGGGCAGTTACTGAAATCAGGAGACAAAGACTTGGCTTGTCAAGTGAAGGCTTAGAGTGGGGTGGGAGTTTGGGGGGGGGGTTAGGCCACCAACCCAGCTGGGGCTGAACTAACCTAAATACTGTCCCCAGCTGTTTTCCACTGCCCCTTGAAAGTGAGAAAGATGCTTCCCAGTGGTAGGCTGGAGGGCCTTAGGGCTCGCTGCTCTTCATTGGTGTCTCCTGGAGTCCAAACAGATGCTCCCAGGAGGATGCAAACATCGCCTCCTGAGGCTGTGCTGCATCTGTTGATGTCTGGTCTCCTCATGCCTTTAACACAGACTGTTACGGCCCAGAGAACCTTGGACTCTGAATATCTGAGCTAGAAGGGCCTTAGGCCACTGAGTTGAACCCCCTTGTTTTCCTGGGCTTCCCCATTTAGGGTCCTCTCAAAGTGGGTACCGGGCAGGTTTAGGAGCATACGATGCTTTATTACAATCAGAGCCAAGCAGCTACCAGGAAATATGGTTGGGATTGAGAGCACATCAAAAGCTAGCCATCCTGGCCATTTTCCCCCCCATTTTTTTATGGTAAAATGATTTGGGGAGGAGAAAAGAATTGGCCAGTGTTTCTCAGTGCTCCGAGGCAGAATTCTGCTTTCTTCTCCAAGATGCTGATCTCTCAGCCTCTTCTGTTTCTGACAAAGTTTTATGAGCTAAGAACAAGGAAGGTGGCCTTCCCTGCCCTTACCAAGCATGGGCTCCCAGGCTGACACAAGAGTCCCCCTCATGGAGGGAAAAGAGGAACCTAGAGGTAACAGGCCATAACTTGGCCACCCAGAGTCAACTCAGCTTCAACCCTCGTCCAATGAGGTAGGTTGCTATTACCCCATTTTTGTGATGGGGGAACTGAGGCACAGAAGGATAATGTATACGTGATCTAAGGACGTGTAGCCTAGGAGGTATGTCGCAGATTAGCTAATACCCTTGCATGCTGGGTATCCTGGAGGTGTTGGGTGTCATGCTCCCCTATTTTACCACCCTTTTCCTTGACTAGATTTGGTCCTTCCCTATTTCTTAGTCTCCAGGCCAACAGGGCTGAGGGGGTTGAGAGAAGAGAGGTGTGTGTGGTTGAACACAGTATTTCTGTTGGGAGATCCCCTGGAGGCATTTGGTTTACTCCTCTGAAGTCCTGAAAGAGACAGGAGCATGGGCTAGCAAGAAAAACATGCCACTGGGCTTGTCTCACTACTACTACCACTACTACTACCACTACTACTACCACTACTACTATGACTACTACTACGACTACTACTACTATTACTACCACTACCACCACCACCACTACTACTACTACTAGTGCCTTGAGATAACTGTTTAACTTTTCTAGGTTTTGGTCTCTCCATTTGTAAAATAAGGAGATTAGACTAGAATCTGGTCTCAAAGGTCCCTTCCAGCTGCAAATCCTATGAAAATTTCAAATAATTGAGTTTATGAGGAGTAACTCATCACCACCACCAGGCAAATCTTAGGAAATCTCCTGTCCTACCATGAGAAAGCAACCCACATAGGCCTTCTCTGCCTCTCAGAGAATACAGGGCTAACTCCTGCTTCCCAAGCCCAGCAAGAACCCTGTTCTATCACAGCTGCAAACCAGGCAGGCCCCAGGGTAAAACACTGATGACGACCCTCACCCCACCTGGGCCCAGTCTCTGGGGCACATCATACATGTGTGCGACACAGACTTGGTCTCTAAGGTTTGCCATTCTGTGGCATGTGCCTATCCCTTCCAAAAGACTGCCCCTTTTTCCACCAAAAAATCTGGGCTTTGATTTGAGGATTTCTGGCCTCACCCAAGTAGGGACACAGGGAAGATGTCCAGGTTGACCCTGAAATAGACTCCATCCCAATCCACAAGCTTCCCCAGACCCCCGTACAGAACTACCCCTACAAGCACAACTCCCTTATGTACATGACATCAGTCCTATCTACATTTCCTCTTCTCCACATGACATTCATTGCCCATCTCTCCCTCCACATTTTTCCCATTGCGTTCAGCCTCATCTCTCTCCTGCACTGCATTTCTTCCATGACCTCTTCCCCAATGAATTTCTCCCATGCCCATAACATCAAAAACATCAGCAACCACACAACAGGTGCATTTTACCTGGACCCATGACATTACCCTCTTCAATGCTACATTTCAGCCATATTAATCCACTCCCATAAAGGATCACCTCAGATTCTTCATTAACCCTCCCAAAGCCTTCCCTTCCATTACCTGCTCCCTTCATACATTTTTCACCAGCCTCAGCCCCTTCACTACATTCCCCCTCCCACAGATGCACACTCCAGTGGGAATCCAGTTTCCTTCTAACACTATGTGCCTCCAAGCACTGTGGTCTTCCCTTTCCTGGCTTGGAAAACCTGCCCTCTTTCCTATAGTATATCCTCTCCAATCCCCCAGAGTCCCACCATCCAAAGTCGAAAGGAACACCTTTAGCACTAGCCCCAAGCTGCCTCTGGGTGTCTGTCCTTCCCTACTGAGCAGGGCATATGTTCCATCCCAGCAGGGGCCTTGGCACACTCATCAAACCCCACAAGTCCACAGTTTCAGTGTCCGGAGTTTCAATATCCATGGCCTTCAGGTGCTTGACATCCTGGTCTTGGTCTTCTGGCCCCCTTGGTCTATTTTGTTTCTCCCCATCCTGGGATGCTGGAAGCAGCTCCTCTGAAGGGTAGGGCACTGTAAATGTCAGCCAACTCCCTGATCCTTGGTGCTGGGATTTCCCCACCTTGCCTCAGGACCTGCCTCCTTGACCAAGTTGAGGCCCTGGACCTGGGGAAGGGGAGCTCCCTGCTGCTGGGGATTACCCCAACAGAGCAGGCAAGGGTCCCCCACCAAGAGAGCCACCTCTAACAAAGACTCCTCACTTCTCTATTGGGAAATGTGCCCCCTGCTGAAGCAAATAGGGACAGGCTGGTAGAGCCTTTTAAGCACATTATGTCCAGGCTGAGAGGAGAGAGGCTGGAAGTGAGGGAGCTGGAGGCTGTGACACGGAGTGAGTTGGGGACTCTGAGTTCTGGATGCTCAGGAGGACAGCCAACCCTGGCTCAGAGGAGGATACCCAGGGCTAGGGAGCTAGAGGTGGCTGCAGAGACTTTTCAGAAAAAGCTTGGAAGAAAGAAAGGCAGGGGTGGGTAGGCTCTGGGCATTCAGTATTGCTCAAAGGTGTGGTCCTGAGCTGGTGCCCAAAGGCCAGAGAGAGAGTCCTGCCCAGCCTCTGGATAGGAAAGCCCCATCAGGAGGCCTCAGAAGACTGAAAGTCTAAAAGGCCAGGCCCAAAGAGCAGGCCAGGGACCCCAGGGAGGAGGGAGGTGGAGAAGGGGAAGCAGGAAGAAGTCATACAGGGACACCCCCCTCCCTGGGTCCAGGGCCTGCCTTGATCTTCACAGCTTGCCCCCCTTGCTGGGCTCTGAGGATTGCCGGACATCTGTCCACTCCTGCATGGTGTTCTGCAAGGCCTGGGTCTTTTCTTTGTCCACTTGTACGTAATCCACTTTCTCATCTGATGTAATGGATGATGTAGATGGCTGTGGAGCAGAAACACAAGCCAGTGTGAGTGGCAGGGGTGTGGCCTGCCCTTCTTCCAAGCAGAAGTGTCTCCCTTCCTCTTCCTGAGCTGATGCCTAGCTGGTGGATATGTTTTAACTATACTATACACATCATTTTGTTGGTACAGGGACCTCCTGATGAAGAAAAGAGGCAGCTCTACCAGAGCAGGTCACTATCTTCTTTGCAACTTAGGGTCTTAGAAAGTTGCCAGAGTCACTGCAACATTAAAAGACTGGCCCAGGGTCACTGAACCGGAATGGGTCAGAGGCAGGCTCTGAGGCTGGCTTCCTTACTCCATGGCTGCCTCTGATGGCTAAGTGCCTCCCAGGCAACCGCTCCCATGGACACTCCCACTCCTCTCTGTGTCAGGACACTGGTAGAACTAAGGAGGTGTGAAGGAGCCACCCTCCCACCCCCATCCTCAGCAGTACCACTTACCACCGTTGTGGGCAAGGAAGGCCTGGGGCAGGCCTGGGGCAATTTGAGCGAATGGTGCCCCATGAGCCCTTGGGGCAAGAAAAATATAAAATCAGTTTTCAAGACTATGGCAGGGAGTTCCTGAGACTCCAAGTAATCTTCCTGGACTTCTTGGATGGCCTTAGGAACTGCTTTTACCAGAAGTATCTGACTGTACTTTTATTAAATGGATGGTTTGTTTGAACCCTTGGGCTCTGATAGGAGTGTTCCATTGCACTTAGATGGATCAGGCTAGCACAGCCTCTTCATCACAGGGCTGTTGTAAGAACCAAATGAGATCTTGGATGAGAAAGTGCTTCATAAACCCGGAAAGCAAACCTCACCTAAGTAAAAGATTATTATTTGATTAAAAGTTTACTTCTCTGCTTGTACTGCTCTGCTGATGGCATGACTCACTCCTTGCCCTGCATCCTTACCCTTCACCCGGCATGGTGGCCCAGCCAGTCCCTGACATCCCCCACCCTCCCTTTCCCTGTTGGTACCTTTCGGTGGGGGCTGGGTGAGCCTGGCTGGAAATCCAAGGCTAAGTAGTCCACACTGCCTGTACTTTTCTTGGGAGCAGGGCTGTTTGTGCCACTGGGAACAGGGGATGCTGACACAGGATTTTGCTGTAACAAGGGGACACAGGCGGAAGAGACAGTGTCAACAAGCAAGGAGTTCCCTCTGGGATTGATCCCTAGACCTTAAGTGAACAGAAGCAGGCAGGACGCAAAGGGAGAAAAATAAGGGGGAAAGATGGTTGGGGAATCGATCATTTTGTTTGCAGAAAAGAACAGAGATATTCTGTAAATCAATTCAGTCCAAGGAAATTAAATTTAAACACATATGGTGCTTCCACCTATGAGCAAGGAGGCCTCTGCCTGATTCTTCCTGTCATGCCTCACTGTGGCATGGAGAGGCCCCTTCTCCCTCCCCCCACTTCTCCACCCCCAGCTCTCCAAGGCTCTTTCAATGGAGCATAGGCTCTGGCAGGCTCCATTACCTAAAGACTAGCAGAGAAGCTCATCACCCTCAGCAACTCATTAACTCATTAAATTGCCAGTTAAAGTGAGGAGGAAAAAGACATCTCTTGCACCCATGAGGTCATAGATCTCAGAAGAACCGAAGAGGGAAGGCCCTCCCATGGCCTTCTGCTTATACCTCTAATGCACTTGTCATTTAATACTACGCATTAGATCTTTCAGCTCTAGAATTCCTGCCTTGAGCTGGAAAGGACCTTGGAACAGAGAATGTTAGAAATTAAAAAGAACTTAGAACACAGAATGACCAAGCTAGAAGGGACCTTGGAGACCATGTAGTTTTCTATCAACCCAGCAGGCCAAGGGCGACCAGACGATATCGAAACTCTTGTGTAAAAAAATCAAGGAAATCAGAACCAAAGGAGAACTTAGAACATTGAATATGAAGACTTGGAAGAGACCTTATAACATAGAATACTAGTAATAGTAATAAACAATAATGAGGATTCATAAAGCATTTTGCAAAGCAGTTTGAGCTGGAAGGGACCCCAGAATAGAAAATGCTAGAGATGAAAAGAACCTTTGCACATAGAATGACAGAGCTGGAAGGGACACTGGAAACCATCTAGGCCAGACTCCTCATTGGCCCTAAGAGGGGAAGTCACTTTCCAGGCCTAGGACCCTTATTCCCAATCTGGAGAAGCACTCAAGAGAGATTTAGGGTATTTTCCCATTTTTAAAATACTAATCAACCCCCCAGATCCCATCAACTCTCCCAACTTGTGAAGTTTATTGAAAAAAATTATTTGTATACATATATCATCCTTACCTCACTTCACAATGGGTTATAAGATTATTGAGGTCAGGGGACATTTCATACACCTCTCTATCCCCTTTAGTGGCCAGCACAGGGCCCTGCACAAAGTGGACATTCACTAACAATTTGGTGAACACTTGAATAAATGACTGGATTCTTAGCACCTTTGTCAAACAGGCACTAGGCTCCCATAATCAGGGCACCCACACAGGACCTCCAGATCAGACGATCTGCCTTGTCAAACTGAATGCGCCTCTTCCCCACTCCCCTCTCAGACTCTGTCTTCCTAGTGGTGCTTACCATGGGGACATAATTCTCCTCACTGTCCCCTGAATCGGTGCTGGTGATGCTCTGGGTGGAGACAGGACGGCAGGACTGGGAAGAGCTAGCATTGAAGGTATGACTGTTTGTGGAAAGAGAAAGATACATGGAGTTAACCCTATAAAGGCCAAGCATATTAAATGATGCCTTTTAAAGGATACTTCAGTTCAATAAGGCTGTGGTATGTCTACCTCACATGTCATGGCTTTTTCCTATATCTTTTGTTATCAAAACTTTTGTTACTAGCATTTTGAAGACAAAGCTTTGTAATTAGCATTTTAGAGACTTTTCAAATAAGGAAAGGAAGAAAATACTTTGTGGTACTTATAAGGATAAGATGTGTCAAATGACACAGCTTGGTCCTTCAAGATATTCTTAAATTCTGGTTCTTTTAGAATCAAAGGTATGTGGAATCATTATTTCTTGATACATTAGGACCACAAAATCCTAGAATTCTAGAATCTCAGAATTCTAGATTCACAAAATCTTAGCATTTTCAAAACTAAAAGTCATAGAATCTTAAATACTAAAATCTGGGTATCGCAGAAACTTAGGGTGATACGTACGAGTAGATGTTGCCTCTGCCCTTTCTGGACACCCACCAGGAATCTAAATGTGCAGTGGGGGTAGAGCGAGGAATACACAGATGGCGATGGACAGTGTCATGAAACTCAAGTGTCCTATCTAGCCCACAATTACTACAGAGCTGAGTTCATGGCTATTCTCCAGTACGGACCAAGGGACTCCTAGGAAAAACTACAAGATGAAGAGGATGCTTGCATAGTAGTAAAGGAATACATTGGGTGGGTGCTTAGGCCATGAATTAAACAGTTATCACTCAAAGACAACCACACTGAATATGGGAATGGCTAAGGGGTGCTACATTTGAATTACAAAATCTTAAGAGTGAGGAGGGATGTGATAAAGTATCTAGTATAACTCTCTCATTTTATTCATTATGTTTTATATCCGTGACTGAGAAACTATTGTTAACATTCAGTTAGACTTTGGTTCCAAAGAAATAACTTATGTAAAGCATTTTTGAATTGTCATGTACTATATACATGTGAACTGTTGCCATCATCATCATCATCACTGAACCCCCAAAAGGGGGTGAGGCTGCCAAAGCCCTCTGACATATGAACACAGCCACTTGAACTTAATTCATCCTCAAATTGTGCACAGGGCTTGGTACTTTCCAAAAGTGATTTCACATACACCATCTTGATGGACCTTCCCAGCAGCCCACAGACACAGGCTGGGCATGTATCTCTCCCTTATTTTCCCTTTTGACAAATAAGACCGTGAGACAACACAGCAGTCAAAAGACAAGGCAAGGACAGAAGTGGGACTAGAACCCAGATCTCCCAGCTTCCTTCCTTTCCCCCCACTATCCTCCTCCTCAGCCCCCTGACCCATAACCCACTCACATTGCCCTAGACCAAGACTTCGTGACTGGGGACTTAAAAGGAAGCTCATCGATGACTGTGTTGTTTCTCAAGTCCAGAGGAGTTGGTTTGGCTGAAATAGGATGAGAAGAAAGAACAGTTTAGGAAACAAGGATGTTTGTTATCTTGAGTGCTGGGAAGGGTCACAGACCTTCAGAGCAGGAAGGGGCCCTGGGAGATCTCACCCAATCCATTTTACAGACAAGGAGGTATCTTGAGCAGAGATCATTACCCTCACTTTACATACATGAAACTGAGGATTTGAAAGGTGATATGTCTTGCCCAAGTTCATAGTGAGAATTAGTAGCAGAAGAGAGCCTTGAATTGCGGCCTCCTGATTCTCCAGCCAATGCTGTATCTGGCTACATCCCACCTGGGAAAACTCCAGGCTCACATGCAGGCTATTGTGAAAATGTACCTGCTTAGAGGGGGCAGTATTTGGAGGTGTAACCATCCTCACCTTTCCTGTCAGGTTTGAGATTTCGGTTGACGGGGGGAGGCTGGATCTCACTCCCCCGCCCCCGATGGACCGGCAAGGCAGAAGAAGAGAAGCTGAGGTGGTCAAAGTGATGAGGCCCCGGGCTCATGGGGATGTAGACACTCTGAGAATTGTCATTAGATCTCTCCATGGCCAGCAGGGAGGAGGACCCAGGGTTCATGGGTACATAGTTGTCTTCTGAATTGGAGCTGTCTGTGTGCCCCACAGTGGCTTTCCCTATCTAGAAAAAGCAAAAAAGGACACAGGGAGGGTTACTGGAGGAGGAAGGTGGGGATAGAGGATGGGTAGGTTCGACCCTGTGTGACTGGCCATCTCTAAGAGGTTGAGAGAGACCTCTCTCCTGAGTCCACAAAGCCAGGAGAGATGGGTTTAAGCTGCGGCAGAAGGGACTTAAATTAGACAAGGGGAAGACTTTCCCGACAATGAAAGAGATATTAAACTTCAAAGGAAATCATGCAATCACCTATACACAGCTTGCCTATTTATTGATCCAGCCCCAAAGCTTTAATAGGGGTAGGGATAACAGAAGACTCTCCTACAAATAGATGCTGCATGTGATTTCAATGGTAAGTGTGATTCTGCAAATATGAAACACAGAACCCATCAGTGGGGTGCTGGGTACCAGTGACAACTGGGAGTAGACTCAGGCTCTCAGTGTGATTCACAGTGGCATCGCATATTCATGGATCTTAACCATAATAACAATAACAATAATAGCTAATATGTATGTAGCACTTACTATGTGCCATGAACTGTGCTAAGTGTTTTATAATTATTATTTCATTTAATCTTTACAAAGACCTTTACAAAAACCTTATTATCACATTTTACAGATGAGGAAACTGAGGCAAACAGTGGTTAAATGACTTGCTCATGGTCACACAGTTACTAAATGTCTGAGGTCAAATCTGAACTCAGGTCTTCCTGACTCCAGGCCCAGCACTCTTATCCACTGCACCCTTATCTGCCCCATATTTTGTGAGTTTCTTTGGCTCCCTCACGGCTTGGTTGAATACCCTAAGGGTGAGTCCTATGTTGTATCCTTGGGTGAGTGGGCTTTGGAGGGGAGGGTCTCCACTCTTTTATAAAAGGGGTACAAAATAGAGTAAGATGAAAGAAAATTACTCAGGAAATCACAAGGTGATGGTTAGGAGGCCAGGAAGAGAAAAGCAAAGATCTAGAATCTAAGGGCATGCCTTTGATGGCCACTTACACAACTGGGAAATGGTTGTATAAATTATGATATATGAATGTAATGGGATATTATTGTATTGTTTAAAAAAAAAAAGATGGGGCAGCTAGGTAGTGCAGTGGATAGAGCACCGGCCCTGGAGTCAGGAGGACCCGAGTTCAAATCTGGCCTCAGACCAAACACTTGACACTTTCTAGCTGTGTGACCCTGGGCAAGTCACTTAACCTCAATTGCCTTAAAAAAAAAAAAGATGATGAAACAAATTATCTCAGAGAATCCTGGGTAACATGACTTGATGCAGAGTAGAGGGAACAGAACCAGGAATACAACTGGAGGGGCAACAATATTGTAAACAAAAACCACTTTGAAGGACTTAGGAACTCTAATCTATGGTCAATCAACTCTGACCAGCCAGATTGGCAGAGGACCTCTGATGAGGTATCTTACCCACCTCTTGATAAAGAAGATGGAAACCAGCTGCTTATGAAAAAAAATAATATTTATATAAAAAAAAAATAAAGAGGCAGCTAGGTAGAATAGCAGATAGACAACTAGTCCTGGAGTCAGGAAGACCTGAATTCAAATTTAACCTCAGATATTTACTAGCTGTTTGACCCTGGGCAAGTTACTCAATCTCTGTCTGCCTGAGTTTCCTCAACTCTAAAATAGGGGCCTTGCAGTGATGTTTTGAGGATCCTTTCCTTTCCTTTCCCTTTCCTTCCCCTCACTCTCCCTAAAAAAAAAAGGACATTTTTCAACATGGACACTATGTTGATTCATTTTGCTTGACTATGCTTATTTGTTCCAAGGTGGTTTTTTTTTTCCCTTTCAGTTGTTAATTGGAGGGAAATTTTTCAGAGGAAAGTAGGATTAACTATATTGGTGCCAAAAAAAAAAGGCACTGTAACATTTTTTTAAAGTACGCTGAAGAGCACATAAGGAAGAAGGAAGCATTGACAAGGCCAGTTTTGAAAGTCACATACAGAATTTATCATGTACTTTTTTCTTTATAAAGTAAGCAATCTAAAACGGAAGTTCATGGTTTCATAGAGAATCCCTTTTGTGTCCTGCTATGTATACAGAAATGTTCTCTTCTTTGGGAAGTTTAGAATGAAAAATAATAATAAAAAAATAGCAGGATGCTTTCCTAAGTTTCCCTAAGGTTTTAGTGAACACCATAAGAGGGACCCTGGTGAGGCAGTTTCTCTCTTTCTAGGCAGGGAAAACAACCCTATGTCACCTATGAGCCACTGGCCAAATCTCCGGACCCCACAGGAAGGAGACACTCACTAGCTTCCTGAATTAGTCTAGGCAAGGCATGGGGGAACAAGGGGAAGGAAAAACAAGTGTTGGAGGCAGCTGGGCCCCACTTACCACAAAGGAGTTGAATCCATCATTGACAGATTCTGAAGACTGGCCACCTTGCGGATACTCATATGTCTCACAGGAAGAAGCTATGACACAGAGATGAAAGATAAGTCTGTCCCTGCCTCTTAGAACCCCAATCATTGCCTTCCCAATCTATCCTAACAACACTCACTGATTCCACTGGTCACTCCCCTGCCCAAATGTGTCACAAATCCTTCAAGGCTCAGCTCAGAGCTGCACGTCCTCCATGAAGCCTTCTTGGGACTGCGCGGTATGAAAACACTGGGCTTCGAGTCCCGAGAGAGACCCGAGTTCATTTCTCGACAGGGACATTATCTTAAGTAAACTGTCACTTTGCGTCTGAGCTTGGGTTTCTTCCTGTGTGAGACAGGGATAACAACACATTCTTTGCCTCATAGGGTTATGGAGGGGACTGCTTGGTAAATCTTAAACTGCTGGAGAAATGGGAATCATTATCATTATACCATTACATCATCATTGCCATCATTCTTTTTTCTCTGGCTCTCCTTAGATTCCTCCTACAAAATCTCTCGGCACCTAAGTGTCTGCATCACACCCCCAGGCTCCATCTTGCAGGCTCTACTACTTCATATCCAGGATCTCTTTTCTCCAATTGGACAATAAGTTCCACGAGGGCATGGACTGTGTTTTCTTCAGTTCTGTATCCAACACAGGACTGCGCCCCTAGCAAGGGGTCTGACAAAGCCTTTCCTCATTCAACAGTATTGACTGAGTAGCTGCTATCGATAGGGCTTCAGTCTGTTTTGGTTGATGGCCAACAGTTCTGGGAGGAGTGGGGCAGGAGTCAAGAAACCTGGCTTCTAATTCCAGCTCTGCCATTGACTTGCTGTGTGCCTACGTGGGAGAATCATAGGGACTTATAACGTCCTCTATTAAATTATAAGCACCTTGAAGGCAAGGAACGTGTCTTACTATCTTTGCTGAATAATAAGAGGTGATATGTTTGGGGAAATAGGAGGCTGCCTTTGGAATCAGGATAACCTGGGCTCAAGCCCTGCCCCTGTGCCTGGGTGAATCCCTTAACTTCTCAGGGTACCTAGGCGGTTCTCTGAGACTACAAGTTGTAGCCTAGGTACAGATCTGCATTGAGGGAAGGAGCTTCCTCCCTGGGAGGTCCAGACAAAGCTGATCAGTCACATTTCTAGAGGGTTTTAATATTTCTAAAGAGCTTTCTTCCTGACCCCTCAATGACAGGGGAGGTTTCGAGTTTTATGGTCCCATTTCACAGATGGAGAACCTGAGGCTTGGAAGATGGAAGGTTTGCCTAAGGTCCCAAGGACTTTGATTGTAATGCTGAGCCAAGCTTAATGGGCTCTCTGCACATAGTAGGCTCTTTATAAACACTGGTCAAATAGAATGGAGGAGTGAGAAGACATCAAAGAGGAAACTACCTGATTCAGCACTTGGCATCTCCTCCCCACGCCAGCTCCTATGCCTAAAAGTGTCCATAGGAACATATGACTACGAGGAATTTGTTGGTAGAGGAGGTCAGACCTGCAGACTTCAGTAATTCTGGCTATCCCCACTCTTCCTGGACTCCCTTCGTCCCTCCAGCAAAGCTAGCTACTTACCTCGGTGGAGACGACTGTTGTCCACCGCTGGGAGGGTGTTGCGTCGGGGGATGGTGGCAGCGACGGATCCTGCCCGGCCACTCTCTCCGTTCTGGGTCCGCTGCTGTGGGCTGCCCCAGCGGGGTGTCTCTGCCTGACCTGGCTTGGGGGGCCGGGGCGGTGGAGCCACTGAGGAGTCCCCAGAGGGCCCCACTGCCAGGGCGTTGTGATTCTTGTCCAATGTGAACGTCCTGGGGATCTGGTAGGCTGAGAGCGGGGTTCCCGGGGCATCTGCGTTGTCCAGCAGGAGGTCCCCGAACTCTCTGCACAGCGCGTTGTTGGGGGTCTTGAAGGTGTACACCTCCTCGTTGTCTGTCTCTGAGCCAGTGAGGCTGCCCTTGGTATGACTGGGAGGGTGGGAGGCCAGGCTCTGCGGGAGGTCGTAGGCGCTGTCCCGGAACTCTGAGTTGTGCCGGCTGGGCTTAGGCAGGCTGTAGAAGCCGTGCACCTGGCCACTGACACCGTTCATACAGTGCCCGTTCCCCTGGGCAAGTTTCTGCACAGCTGTGTCGCTCCTCATGAAAAAAGAAGCCCTGGTGCCCTGGGAGAAACTGGCGCTCCTGAGAGGGAGAGAGAGGGCACTGGGTTAGAGGTGGGAGGGGGAAGCAAAAAGACCTCAAAACGGGCAGGCAGAACTCTTGGATCCTGGCTCTCCTACCACCGAGGGATCTTGGGCAAATCATACCCTCTGCTAGCCTCAGTTTCCCTTCTGCTCACCTAGGGGCTGGCTGAGCTGATCTCTCAAGTTCCTTCCAGCAATCCATTCTTAGGCTTGAACGGACCTGGTGGAAAGCCACCATGAGACGCAGCATGGCAGAATGGACAGGGCACTTGACTTGAAGTCAGAAAGACCTGAATTCAAATCTGGCCTCAGATACTAGCTGTGTGACCCCAGGCAAGTCACTTAACCTTGTCTGCCTCAGTTTCCTCATCTGTAAATGAGCCAGAGAAGGAAATGGCAAACCACTCTAATATCTCTGCCAAGAAAACCCCAAATGGGGTCAGAAACAGACATGACTGAAATGACTGAACAACAAAAGGGTCAGAAAAAATATTTAATTAAAAAAAAAATTCAGGAAAGGCTTTCTGCAGAAGGAGGGATCTTGAGCTGAGTCCTGAAAGAAGCCAGGGAGGCTGGGTGGAGGAGGTGAGGAGTAGAGCATTCTGGGGATGGCAGACAAGCAGTGCCCAGATACAAAGACATGAGATGGAGCACGATGAGCAAGGAACAGCAAGCCAGCCAGCATTCTCTGCATCCTCAGGGCTGGGGAAAAGAGCTATGTGTTTAGAAGCCACTCTATGTGGAATTGAATTCTAGACTCTCAGAGCTGAAAGGGCCCATGAAAGTCATCTGTCCCAACCTCCCCCTCAGGGTGGCAATCCCCTTTTACAACAAGGCATCAGTTTCTTCTGACCTGGCACCTCTCCCAAGGCAGGGGTATGAGCAGCTGTGACCCCAATCTCTCCCCACCCCCGGACTTTCCAAATCCTAGACAGATGCACACAGATATAAATGTGGACACACACACAGATATAAACACAGACACATACCCACTAAGACATAAACATAAATACACAAACTATGAAGATATAATATACGAGGGTAAGGTAATTAGAAGTACTCACACACGAAAAGCTACCCAGCCTGACTTGGACTGGAAGCCCTTTTGCTAGGCTACAGTTCTCTACATCTAGCTTGGCCCATGCACAGTTTGTGGTTAGAGCAGTAGACCTGGAGTCAGTCGAGACCCTCTCTGGATGTGTGACCCTGGGCAAGTCACTTTAACCACTGCCAGGCCTCAGTTCCCTCATCTGTAAAATGGAAATAATAATAGCCTGTTCCTCACAGAGCTATTAAGAGTAGATAATATTTATAAAGTTCTTTGCAAATCTTAAAGCGCTACATGAATGGGAGTTGTTCTTAATTGTATAAATAGAACTAAAGTATCCAACTAGTTATTTTATGTTTCCAGAAAAGACTACCATCTTTTCCCAAGAAAACCCCACGAGCCATTTTGGGATTTGCCCACCCAGACAACCTGAATTAGACTTACTCATCAATCACTGCGACAATCAGTGCTTTTTTTTTTTTCTTTCCTGGCCTGGTGGGCCTAGGAGTATTCCAACCACATTACTAAGCAGTAAATTAGAGTTGTCTAGTTAACTAGAACAATTAAATAAAACAAGGTCTTTTACATCAGCACTTTGAAAGTACACAAGGACAAGCGTCTCTTTCTGTCTCTGTCTCTCCCCTCCTCCATGTCTCTATTTCTGTCCCCTACCCCATCCTGTGTCGCCCACCCACCAGAGACACACACTCCCACACACCCCAAAGCCCCTGAAGGGCTGTGATGAAGAGGCATTGCTTTGTTCTTCTGGGTCCCAGAAGGCTGAGCCAGAGCCACGGGAAGTCAGCTGCAAAGGAAGATTTGGCTCAATAAGAGGGTCAAAATGTGTTCATCATTATTGCTGACCAAAGGGGAATAGGTAGATGGAAAGCCTTTAATAGATGCTAGATGACTTAATTGTCGGGGAAGATGAAGAAAACACTCATTCTCATTTCAGGTATAGTTGGGGCTAGATAACTTTGGAGGCCTTGGTGATTTTTTTTTTTTTTGGTGTTAACACATACATATACGCACGCACGTGTGCGTGCACAAAATCAGACAAACTTGCAGTCAGAAACACATACAGGGCAAACACATTTACACACAGACATAAACAAACACATATAAAGACATACAGAGATGAACAGACTCCTACAGGTAGACATACACAAATCCATATAAACACAAACTGAAACACACACATAGGAATATGTAAGTCAATCCACCCACAGCTTATTTATATTAGCAGGCTGGCATTCTTCCAAATGGTCCCAAATGGTGCTCCCAGGTTGCTATTTGGACAATCACTTGGTTAAACTTATTGACTTAGGAAAAAACTCCTGTAGATGAAAAGGGGTGGGTGGGGTGGGTAGAGAGTGTCTGGTGCCCATCACTGACAGCAGGCATAGTATTCTCCCTGGCAACAGAGACACACCGAGGACACCAACAGCACTGAGAATGCTGGGACTTTGCAAGTTCTCTCTGCTATTAGATGGAAAACCAAGAAAAACCAAGCAGCCCAACAAAATACTCCCAGAATGACAGAAATATGGACATTCACTGTGTCCTAAGCCCTGTGCTAAGTTCTGGGGATACAAATCCAATCAAGCATATAGAGCAGCTAGAAAAGGCGGGGATGGTTTGGAAATGATTGCCCACCATTTGAAAACCCAATGAATGGGCCAACAAGGTTGGCTTGAATGCCCTGTAAGTAGTGGTGGTAGAGTGCTAGGGAGGGAAGGAGAAAGAAACAAAGAAAAGGAGGGAGAGAGAGAAAGGGAAGGGACAAAGCAAAGGAAGGGAGAGAGGAAAAAAGAAGAAAGGAAAAGAGGAAGAAAGGAAGGCAGGGAGAAAGGAAAGGAAGTAGGAAGGAAAGAAAGAAGAAAAGAAAGAAGGAAGAAGGGAAGAAAGGAAGGTAGGGAGGAAAAAAAGAAGGAAGGAGGGAAGAAAAAAGAAGGAAGAAAGTGTGGGAGGAAGGAAAGGAGGGAGGAAGAGAAAGAAGGAAGAAAGAAAGGGAGGGAGAGAGAGAACAAGGAAGGGAGGACTTAGTAAGTGCCTATTACGTGCCCCGCACTGGGTTAAGAACTTTACAAATATGTGATTTGATCGTCACAACAACCCTGGGAAGTGCTATTATTATGCCCATTTTATAGGTGAAGAAACTGAGGAAGACAGAAGTTAAGTGCTGTGCCCAGGCCAAATTCGAAGTCTTCCTGACTCCAGGCCCAGTGGTCTATCCACTGTGCCATCCAGCTGCCTCTAGCATTGGGTGACAGATAGGGACAAAGAAGTTGCTATAGCAGCTAATCTTGTTCATGGTACTAATTTACATTTATAAGAGAATGATTTATTATTTCATCAGTTTGGAGGTTTATCTCCATCTCTCACCTGACCATGACAGTAAAAAACTCCTAGGGAGGGAGAATTTGAACTCAGGTCTCCCAATCTCCAAGTCCAGCACTCTATCCACTATGCTATGTTGTCTCAACCGTTTACATTTGTACCTGATATTTATATAGCCCTTGATGGTTTTATAAACCATCCTCAGGACCAGCTGGTGAGGTGGGTAATGGAAGGATTAATATTTCCACTTTACTGATAAAGAAACTGAGGCTCACCTGATCAATGCAATGGACCAATTATGGTTCCAGAGGACTCACCCATCTACTGACATAGAGGAGATGGACTCAGAGGACAAAATTAGTCATATTTTTTTGATGTGGCGAATTCAGGAATGTGTCGGTTGATTAGGTTATGTTACAATAATCATTTAAGATCAATTGAGCCCCAGTAAGGGCCAAAATGCTGAATTAATCTTTTCTTCTTGAGTGAACTGAGAATGCCCCTTCCTGTATCAACAGCTAAAGCTGACCAAGAGCATTCTTCTGTTTATGACCACTCAGGCACCTTTATCCCAGACACCACCTTGAATGATGGGAATTTTTATCATCTTGGTGGTAAAGGAAACACAAACATCCTGGATCTGACATCTGCCTATCTTGTTCAATTCCTTTCTCATACTCTGGTTAAACATATGGAATCATCAACTGAGTAACACAGACATCCTGAGTCAGGGTTTAAATGTCCTCCTAAAATTGCTTGATTCAGTTAAAGTTAAACCTCTGGCTCCATGTAACATATTACATACTGCTAACTTAAGGGCATAAAACAATATGAATTTACTTATCACCTAGCTTGTTGTCTCTTCAATCAACTTTCAGGTCAACAGTTACAAGGGTATTATTGTTTTGTTTTGTTTTTTCATTGGGGCTGGAGAGGTAAGAGAGAAAGAAAAAAAATTTCTCAATTAAAACAATTAATTTAAAAAAACAGATTGCTTTAAGCAGCAGAACCAACATTTGAAACTAGGTTGTCCAATTCCAAATCCAGAATCTTTTCCACACTGCCTTTCCATGTATAGCTGTGCATTATTGCCATCTACATTTATGTCTGATTCCCCTGTTAGACTGTAAGCTTCTTTAGGACAAGGACCATGACTTATCCAAACTTCATATCTCTCTGGGGGCCCCAGTAAAATGTTCTTTTGTACATAAGCATTTAGAAGGGGGGAAGAAAAAGAAACTAAGGTTTAGAGAAATGAATGGAGTTGCTCAAGGCCACATAACTGGCCAGTGTATAGGCAGAACTTGAATTCAGGTCAATTCTCAGTCCAGTGTTCTTTTTACCATATCAAGCTTCCTCTAGATAAGACAGTTTCCTCCTTTTTGAGACAAAGGGTTGGCCTGGATCAGTGGTTCCCATTTGGTTGATTAGGGACCCCTTTAGTTGTTCATGATGATGGACCAAGGACTTTGCACTAAAAATTCTTTAATGGTGATTTAAGTATTAAATAATTGCAGAATATCATGAAGAGCGTATTAAATTACCCAGGAGTTTCCGGCATTATTTTTGTTGTTGTGGAAAGGGGTTCAAGGAACAAAAAATGCTGGAAA